ATAAAGATATTTTTCCTTTGGTATTTTATACCTTGTTCTGTATTTTGTTCCGTTTATATAGATATACATAGATTTTATACCTATACATTACCTATACATAGGTATTACCTATACATAGATATATATATAATTTAAGGGTTCCGTATTAACTGCTACATATAAAACCCAAAAGTGCATCAATAATGTATTTTTCAGTATTATTTAACTTCATTCTGAAGAATTTTCTGCAGTCTAGTTTGCGTTATAGTCTCAAATAAAAACAATTATTGTTTATATGTCATTAGAAAATTAACCAAAAAGCAGCGACCACAACGTAATTGAAAAACAGTCCTTAGACGTGAAAAGGTTGAAAGCCATTTGGGTTATGACTATTTTTTCAGATATTCAGCTATTACATACATAGCATTCGAAATGAAAACTCAATATTTACTACAAATTCATTGATGTATACTTTCTACTTCTATTGCACCTTACAGTTTTTTATACATTTTTATGTACAAATTGCATTCGAAGAATTCAATGTGTATTTTCCTCTGTATAAAACTGAATGTAGAAAAGTTAGATGTTTAAACGACCCCCACATTTTCTCAAGATCGCGAGCAAGATTGTCCCTCCTTTTCAGCTCCCCCCGTGAAAAAAGGGGTTGTAAATTTACGACCTGACCGCATATAGGCTGATTTCGTGTTTACAATGCATACATGGAGGTAGGAAAGAAAGGAGGGGCCATTCCGCGCTAGAAGTGAAGCACTGCTTTGAAGCTTGGGTCACCAGACGGGGTGTTTTTTGTTTACATTCAGAAGCTCGCTTGACAAAATTCTGATAGTATTTCGACACACGACAGTTCCATAGAAATCGAAAAAGGGACACTCTCGCATGAAAGAAACATTCATAGTGTGATGGATAATAGCAATTTGTATAGTTTACTGACATTTACGCAAAAATCACATCTTGGTTATTTTTCGATAACTAACAACAGCGATTTTGATTATGAATTTGTTTTATAAAATTCTAAGCTGTTGCACTACAAAAATATAGATTTTAAGAAAATTGCTAAAAGAGATCTGCCAAAATTTATTTTCTAGAAGATTTGAAAAGTTTGAAACTTGATGGCTAAATGTAAATATAAAATTATGTATGTTAAAATATTTGTAATTAGGCACATAGGTCAGATTAAGTTTTTATTAAATAGAGTAACGCATGCAAGGGCTATCTGCCTAAAGAGAGAGATGCCATCGTGGAGGAATTTTGAAGAAAAACTGACCTTTGAGTGGGTATTAAAAATAATACTTATAATTTTCATTCAAATTATATTCATATATATTTTTTTATGTAAAACTTTCGGGTGTATGCTAAATTAGTGTAAATTACTTTACACGAAAAATATAGTGAATGCACAGAAATTAAAGATTTTGCACATGCCGGAAATGATAAATAGGAAATATGTATGGGTATTTATGCATGTGCTTGCAAAAAGCATGTATCTGCCTTTGACAAAATACTTAAATATTCATTAAATTATTTATAAATGTATTTGAAATGAAGAATTTATTCACTTATAAACAACTGTGAAAGTACTGTGAAGAAATCTAATGATTAAATGTATCTAATTTATAATGATTATAAATGTTATCTAATATATAATAACCTTAATATTGAATTGTAAACATAAATTGAAAAATCCTGTTGACAAATACGTTATAAAACTATTTAAGCAAGAATTGTTCGTATTGGAAAGCAATCTGTTAAAAGGTATTGTAAAGCAAATGCTATGAGATGCGCACTTAAGAACGTAATAAAGAGTTTTGGAATATGTATTGTTGAAATGAAGGGTAAAAAAAAAAAAAAAAAAATCTGATAAGTATAATTAAAAGAATTATTCCCTTTACATTTTTTATAATAACTCAGTTACAAGTTTTTTTTAAATAATACTTTAAAAAAAAAAAAAAACTTATTTTATTCCCTTTCAGAAATGTTCAGAGAAAGTCAAATACTATTTAATACCTATTTAATTATTAGGAATTAGCGAAATACTTATTTAAAGTATTTCGCTAATTCCTAATAATTCTCTAATTTAAAATGAACCGAATAGAGCATTAATTATAAATTGACTTACATTTTTCGATTTAAAAGAAGCCAAAAAATCATGTCATATTTAAGAAAGTATTTTAGGAAGAAGCTCTATAAATAGAAAAGAAATAATGCATAATTTTAATATTAATAATACAATAAACTTTGATCTTAATTTTTGTACCTTAACCGAATAAAATCGAATTACCTTAATTTTTTTTTCTAATGTAATTAACGAAAACTTGTGAAAATATTTCATTCAAATTAAACCATTCTGAGAAAACTGTCCTGTGAAAAGTATAGCATTTAATTCCGTTCAGAATGAAATGTTGTTTAAAAATATGTTGTTTTCACATACTTAGGACTCTGAAGTGTTGTAGAAAAACAAAATATATACATTTATATGTATATTTGCGACGTAATTACAAAATATTTACACCCGAATGCGTCAAATCCCATAGAACTCAATGGTAAATGACCCAATGTTTTGGTCACCACGTAGGGATCGCTGGTGCTTCAGAGCAGGGTACGGAGAAAATTGTTTAGGGCGACTCCATCTTACTTCCTACCTCCATGGATGCATACGGGGGGGGGTAACGAAAACTGCTAATGAATTATGAAGATAATGCAGATAAATTTTGATAAATCCGGGATTTCAACTTTTATTTATATTAATTTAGTTTGAAAAGGCAATTTATTGATAACAGGATAATAGTTATTTTAAATGGTTTGTATTATTTGTATACCTAGTTTAAACAAAATAAATCTTTTACCCCTTTTACAGTTGCTGTGTTGTTGACACCTTTTTCCTTTTTGAAGGAGCGATATATAGTTTTCAAATGGCTTATAAAATCTACTAATCTTATCATTCGTTTGACTTTTGAATTCGTATCACTTACTTCTGTTTGGCATTTTAGTAATGCAAAGCAAATTTTCTGATTTTTTTTAAACACTAAAATATATGCTTTTCCATATTAAATTCCCTATGCGCGTAACGGAAAATTTTGTCTCCATGCCAAACAAAAGACGACTTTTCTAGTCTGTTTTTAATATACTGCTATTTGTTCCCCACAGAACGTTTTCAGTGATAATTATTGAATTATTGACCCAAATTTACGTATAGATTAGTGGTTAAAACTCCTGAATAGTCATTTTCGCCCTGGATTTGGCGTCTGGTACAGAAAGGACAGAATAGGTGGCTTAATAGCTTTCTCCGTCTGTAACATAAATATGAGCCATTTCTCTTAGAAAGAAGAACAGGCGACTTAAAATAGTCATCATAGACTTCAAGAAGACTTAGAAACAGTCTTTAGAGAAGACTTGACATTTCTTCTGGGAAAGTAACTTAAGTATATTTTGCCGTGATTAATTAGCCATTGAGAACCTCAATAGTTTAAGGTTGCTTCTATTAAATGTTTTTGATCTAGATTTAACTAAGCATGATGGATATTAGTCTTCCTTTAAAATGAAAAGGATAGTAATTCAATTATCTTGTTCCTTTCGTCAAACTATAGTTCTTAAGATTCAATTATATAATTCTTTTATTGCATGAATAAGATCTTTCGTTCAGCTCTTACAAACCCTGTTCTAAGCAATTTTCACAGCCGATACAACTGATGCGACTGCACCGCACGGCATAATTTAAACGGGCAACATTTTTAGAATTTAGGGAAGCACCAAACAGCCCTTATCTAATTCTTTGTTTAGCCTGTAACGGTCTTCTCCGCACTCTTTTAGCCAGTACTTCTCTTATTTATTTCAGTTTTTCATTTCAATAATGGGGAGGTAATTGTAATTTTATTACAAAAGTTTTCTGTAAACAAAATGCCTTTTAACCTTGATCCGAACAGGAAAATTTAGGGGCGTCAGCATTTTAATATCTTAAGGAGAAAACGAGTAAGAGAAATTAAGAACCACAAGGCATTTGCGCCGAAGGGCAAAAATGCCTGAGAGAACTTTCAAAAGTTTGCTTTTCAGAGCACAACCCAGTATGTAAGGACAAAGAATTTCTGTATCTTCCATCACATGCTTTATCTCGTCTTTCGAGTATTTACTCGTATTTAATTTTTCTCAGCTAAAATCCCCCCTAAAATTTCTTCATTAGTAAATTAAAATTTTACCGCTTTTTCGCCTCCCTTTTTATTAGATTTCTCCATTGATTAAAAAGTACTAATTTCAATAATTGATTTTAATTTTAAGCCTTACCGTCTATTTGTTTTTAATACATTGTATTTCAGGTATTAATATTTTTCTTTGTCGATCGTACTAAATTACATGTCTTAACAATATTCGATAATCAGATAGTTTTCTCTTCTAGAAGGAAATGTTTTCTTCTTTAAATGGGTTAAGCGTTGAGTTGAAATTATACTAGTAGAGTCGATCCTCGATTAAGGTGGTTCAAAACTCGTATGAGCGGAAAATTAGAGATTATCTTAAAGTACTTACGTACAGGGTCGGCGCCAGAGCCGATGCACCTGGCGCAGTCGGCACCGGTCGGCAGAATTTAGGGGCGGTAAATCTTTTTAAGTTTTGGAAGAAATCGGGTATCAGAATTTAGAAGTTGCAGAGTTTGCACCGGGCGGCAAAAAGCTCTAGCAACGCCCCTGAGTACTTAAAATAAAACTAAAGAATGATTAAATAAAATTTTATGTTCATTCTGAAAATTATTTAGCAATAAAAGTTTCATTTAAATTTCATATCATGTTCTCTTCGTCGAAGAGAATTTTAGGAATTTGTCATTTGAATTGCATATATTGGCATTAAAGATAATTTTGAAAGTCGATTATTGATCAGAGGATTCTTTAATATGTGTTCATAAATAACCTTTTAGTCGGAAATCCATCTTTCTTTTTATATATTTGACAAAAATAATTAATTAAAATTATTTTTATCTTTTATTATCTTGTGAAATAATGTGATATTCAAAAATGCAGGTCAAATGCTCATTCATTGGCTATGTGCTGCTTTTCCGGACGATCATTACCTTCGATTTCTCCTTTCTAAGCAAGACCTAAAAATACTGGCTGCTCAGTTCTGCACGAATCTTCTTGCTGCTGGTGTCCTAAGGCAGATTGAAGATGAAAATGCACCTTTAGCCAATTTATTTCGAGTAAGTACATATTTATATCTGTTTTATATAAAATGTTTTTCTTATATGCATGTAACTATTAAAAATTAACACTCTTCGTGTGTTATTAGATGGAAGCTTTAACTTTGTAACAGTATGTTAATATAAATTTCACAAAATTTCATAGTTTCCCACATAAACTTTTAAAAACAGTCTCATATGGTTTCTTTAAGGTAAAGTTGTAATTTTTATTCAAATAAATTTCACTCTTTCATGTATTTTACAGAAGTGGTATTAAACTGAGAGACAGCTTTTCAATTACGTATTTGTTGCAAATACAACGGTTATAATTTTAGAGACATAAAATTATCCACTGAATTTATGTGTGCGACTGCTGTTGAAGGAAAAAAGACAGAATGAATAAGTCAAGGCTCTACCTTTGCCACTGTAGGCTCGTACGCTAGATGAAGTGACTAAGATAAGATGGGAGAACTTCTCATGTTGGTACAGTCAATAAATTTAATTTGCCAGCCAACAGCTGGCGGTGTTTCAGTATTCTGAAATTTCTGGTTAAAGTAAGTTATTTAGACATTAGTTCAGCGTATTGATATTATTTAAAACATATTTCAATCTGAAATTTAATATTTAGCTGTCACTGCATTTGAGTCGCTAAGACCAATAGAATAGAGTAAAATAGAAATACAAGTTCCAATAGAAATTGCTTCCAGGTCCAACCTTTAGTCTCAAATAGAAAATAAATATAAATTTGAGTTTTTCTTTTATGTTATTATTTATGTATGTTTTGATAAATATTCCAGAAATGAAATTTCAAAACATTATATTAGTATAATATTTATATATTATATTTCAAAATATCATATTAGTTAACATTTTTTGTTTTGTTAAAAATGTTTTAAAATTTTGTTAAAAAAAAGTGTTCTGACCCATCAGTTACTTTCAGATGATGCATTAGGCTCATATACAGTTTAAGACTTTGCAAGATAACCAAAAAGGTTCTTACTTTTCATCATTAAAAACAAACAGACATCACATTGTTCACAGCTTTAAATCTGAAAGTAATCTGCATCAGCATCCAGCACCCTTTGGCAGTGTTCCTACAGCAGCTGTGCAATACTGTGACGATAAAACTTGGATGCAATGGCACAGGTTTTTGTCAATAGATTTCCCATGAAGGTGGTTTAGGGAGCGGAATGTGTGGTAACCTGTGGGTGCAAGATCTGGCAAGTATAATAGATGGCACACTTCTACCAGCCAACCTGCTGAATGGCATCCCTAGTCATCCTTGCCTGGTTCGGTCTCTTATTGTTGTGGAGGTACAGCATACCCTTGCAATTAACTAATATTGGCTCCTGCTGCAATGCATGTTGCACCTGCTATGAATACAGGTCTGCAGTAACTTCTAATGCACCACTTGGCAACTAGTCCACCACTTGTAATGCACGACTTGGGAAACTCAAAACATGATCTTACATGGGTGCAGAAGTGATTTCCAAATGTGAGGCACAAGGTCACATTATTGGCAATCAATATTTGGTATATTTGAGTGTGTTATGTGTTGCACTGCCAAGACAACAGTGATAAACAAGTTGTCACTTCATCCTTGTTGGCTACTGACAGTGTGTAGGATACCTATGTGCTCAATTTGTACACCTCGCCTGTGCAGTCCAGGTGAAGTGTGAATTTTTCTTAGAAACTTGGAAATGTTCGGCAAGTTCACCTCATGTTTGAATTCTGTACTTTTCCATGGTTGCCCTCAGGGCCTTGTCATTCAACACCTGTAATCTTGCTCCCTGTGGGATTAAACACAAAGGCTCAGATCTCTTCACCAGAATGTCTGGAAATCATTGCTTTCATTCACGGCATCCTCCCCAAATGCTTGACCTGTTCAACAACTTGATGTAGCTGCTGATGCCTCGTTCGAAGTCCTGTTGCAAACAACCATGAACAGGCTGCTTCAATACCTCCATTTCTCTTCAACAATGGACGAGCTGTGATTACTGCCTGTATTGAAACAGATCAATTGTCGCAACTAACTCTGCATCACTTTTGCAGTAGGTGAATCATTTCTTTTCTTGTAACACTTTATTAAATGGAATGTCAAAAATGAAAAGAACCTTTTTGATTACTTTGTAATTTAATAATCTGAGAAATCATTTACTTGAAAGTTATACATACACCATATTGTTTAGCTTGGCTTTAATGCATTTTCTGAGTAGTATCAATAAAAGCAGCCAGCTTTGCTCTTCAACAAAATTTTTAATAATCTCTGCCCCTTCCCCACCAAAAAGAGACTATATTGTTGGTAATTTTTTTTATAATGAAGTTAATTGCTATAATGCAAAAATATACTGGCAAGAAAAGAAAACAACCTTGGAAATTCTGATTGTTTCTGCTGAGTCATAGGAGACAATAAAAGCAATATATTTCTAAATCTTAATATCAACAGCTTAGGAATAGGAAGAGAATCAAGTCTAAAGTTTTGGGTAATCGATGTATTTTTTAAGTGTGCGAATTTTTTCAAAAATTGCAGAGAAGTGATCATGTGCAGGAATTAAAGCCATCACTTTTAAGGTTTAAAACACATTGTGAGCAACTTCTATCTTAATATTGTTATCTCCATTTTACTTTGAGTAAAAAAATTATTCCTAAAAAATGCTTTTACAGAACTAACTGTATAAGGTATTTCTCCCACCTTCTTAGCAGGGCTTCGTGGTGTAATGGTCAGAACACTCGGCGTGTATTCGAGAGGTCCGAGTCCCGGTGATGACATTGCTCATTTTTCATGTGTCCTGCTTCGAAATAAACTAATGTCTCTACAGTGGCGCCCAAACTAAAAAAAGGTGATGGATGATGATTCTCCACCATCAGGATTTGCCGATTGAGTCCCCTAACCCCAAGTTGTCCTTTAAAAGGAGAAATATATAATGCATTTCACCCTTGAATTACATGAGATTAGAACCACCTAAATACTGTGCTCATAGCAAATCAGGGTATAATTTTTGCTTTTGAAGAATTTAACTGTCATTAACCTTTCTTCAGAAAATGCCTTACTGGTAATATAACTAAGCAGAAGATTAACATACATTTTGTGTGCATATATGTATAATGCTATATTTGCATAATAAAATAGGATTAATTTTTATGCATTGATTACAAAGCAGTAGAAATGTGATTGAAGTAGCAGATAGCCTTCTTTAATATATCATTATAGTTATTGCTGAAAATTTCATGGAGTTACAATATTATATGCATGTTTATAATACAATCTCAGAAATGTTTTGGCTTTAAAAAAATCTCCATTGCTTTTCAAGTAGTGTTTGATTTCTTTCTTCATGGGAGCAGCGTCAGCATAATTAGAATCGTTTCACATGGGACTTGTTTTGTGTTATTTAAGTTCCAGTTTATACTATACGCAATGAAGATTAATAGAGCTGCAGAGGATTATGTTTTAACCTCAGCATTTAATATACTAGATGCTTAGGCAATGACCAGTTTGTTCATTGTTTAAACATATGATTGACACTTTTTTCAATGCTCATGTTGCCAAAATATTTTATGTTCTGAAATATTTTCAGGTTAAATGCCTTATTATTAATGGGAAATAATTTTTATAAGAAATATAATAAACTAGAACAAAATGAATAAAAAAATTCTCCCTGAAATTTGCATGCTGCATTATTATTTGTGATATCCTTTTAAATAATATATTTACAATAAATTTTCTTTTGAAGCAAAGTAGAGATTTTTTTAAGAGAGATTTTAGTGCACATCAGACCTAGCACTTCAAACCTTAAAATCATTTGCTGCTGTGATCAGTGGAAATTATCCGTTATGCCATGGAGGCTTCAAGAAACAGGTGAACTCAAGCAGTATATAAGCTATTAAGCATTTTAGACTCTATTTTTTTTCTCTCTTTCTAAGAGGCGCTCACTTGATGTTAGAATACGCATTAAATTCTTTCATAAATCATCTTAATTCAGATGAAATTGCTGTGTACTTCCTTTGTGAGCTATTAAATATTTAGAACTAATCGCAGTATACTGAATTTATTTATTTATTTATTTTTCTGATAGCCTGATTTGATGTATTACTGGACCCATTCTGAGCCTCAACCATCTAGTGCTCCACCTCCTGGTAAACTTTCACCGTCTGTATGGCCAACTCCTTCGATACCTGAAGTACCAGAACATCGAGGAAGCACGCTATATACAGAAGCTGGTAAGTCATCCAGGAAGAAGTTTCTTTTTTTCATGTCTCTGTTAATCATGATGTTTATTTATTAAAGGTTTATTCATTAGTCCAAATAAAAGTTAATAATTTTCTTCGATTGAAATTGTCAAAAAATATTTCGCTCTGATGCCTTTCATCTATCTATTCAAAATAACTATTTGATTTATAAGTTTATTTTAGAGTGGTCCATAAAAAGAAAATATAATTATGTTGTAATGAAACTCAATTTCTCCACTTACAATTATGCATTTTATTTTTTTTCCTATTCTAAACATAAAATTTTATTTTTTTCTTAAAAAATAAAATACATTTGTATAATCATTATAAAAATAACAATCGTACCACTGATTTGTAATATTGTCATCTATAAGTATTTTTATGTGCTTTATTGTAAGGATATATTACTTTATTATAAGGAAAATAGCTGTATAATTTTTTGTTGTATTCTTTAGGATGAATTCTTTTAGATTATTTGAAATGTAATAATAAAGTTGAATACACACCATTATTGAAAATAAATCTCATTCTTATATTAGCTTTTACTACAACTGAATTCTTAATGTACTATTTATTTATTTACTGTTTGGAAGCCTCCTCTATTTCAAAAATTCTGCTCATTATCTTCTATCTTGTGACTTGGGGTGGTCTGAATGTTTTAAGTTTCGAAGTATGACTTTTAATTTTGGTAAAATAGAGTATTTCTTTATTCTAAAATATTCTTTGTTCTGTTCAGCATTTATCACAATTAAACAAAGGTTGTACTGGGTCCGTGACACTTTGCCAACGACCACTTAACCGACACCAATTAGCTGCCGACATTTAGCCGACACGGACAGTTAGGTGAGAAGACATTTAGCTGATAAGGACACTTAGCCAACAAGGACACTTAGCCCACAGGACATTTAGCCAACACAGAGAGTTAGCCGTCAGTACATTTAGCTATGGGACCCTTAACTGTCAAAACATTTAGCCAACAGGACACTAAGCCGACAATGACGTTTAGCTGGCACGTACACAATATTATTTAAACTTATTATCAATTACAAAATTTCTCGACTTCTCCATAAGTTCCATATTTAAGTCATTTTTTTCACCTCTCAATAAAATTCATTTTTCGATTCTTAAAGATCTCCATATGTGCTTTTTAATTCTTGTGTAATTTAGCATTATTTGATATGTATCGTGCTGTTTTGTGTATATTGGCCAAATTGAAAAAGCATTGATATTTCTCATCAGGGAATATGAATTCATTTTCGAAAGGAAAAAAGAATTTTTTAGCTAAATATGAAGATCACTTAATTACATTTTAATATGGGATCTTCAAAAATTATCCGTAAAGTTTCTTCATTTAATCAACTGGGTTCCTTTGAACACTTTTGCATCATTAATAATTTTTCTTGTTTACTTAATGATATTAATTTTCCAATCTCGCTCTTCCTAATGCTTTCAAATTTCTAATGCCTTTATGTTTCATTACTATTTTACTCAATATATCATATTGCATTCTTTCCCATATAAAACCATTTCACTTCTCCCTCTACTGAAATTTGCTTTCTCTGTCATGAAAATAATGCAATAAAAATGATTGTTATTCCTGAATTATACTTTTTATACAAACATTGGTGGAGAAAGGTTTGTTTCGCAAATATATTTTATTTTGTTATTAAAAACAATTTAAAAAAGATAATTTTTAATACAAGCAAAGCTTTAAATTATTTGTGACTTCTGTAATAGGCAGTTCATGCCACCATCCATGAGATAAAAATTTTGTAACATTTTATTGACCATGCTTCTTGCTTAAAATACTTACTTAGGTTAATGTTTACACAGTCAAAAGTCGTTACTTTAGACACCCATAATCCGGAATGATCTATAATCCGGACCTCAAAGCTACAAACTTTCTGCGCATGCGTCACGTTCACGCATGCACACAGGCATCCACGTATGCGCACAGGCGTTTACGAGTGTGCGTAAGACCTTTACGGCTGTGAATATGCGTATGCGCATGCGCGTTTAATGTGTAACGGATGGTATAAGCTAAGCTAAAATTATCTAATTCAGTTCATGTTGCAGATTGCGTAGTTCCTTAATCTTCGAATTGGATCTGGCTTATTATTTTTTGCAGACTGTTAGAGCAATTTTATAAAAGTAAGCTTGAACTTTCAATTATATCAAATAGAATTGCTGATATATATTTACTAATATGTAAAGGATCTACAAAGCGAAAGTATGTTTCGAAATCCGAAATCTGTTTATCAATTTCATGCCGTGGCGCACAATGAATTGGAAGTTGATCTGTCAGCATTATCCTTATCTTCAGGGCAGATGTTTTTATTTTATTTGGCTTATAATTCCTTACTAAATGTAGCATTTCATCTCGATGTACTCTGTCTTTGATATGATTTAAATAAAGTTCCTCATCATTATAAATATCATGAATACAAATCAAATAGTTTTCTGGTTGCAATTTTCTAAGACCTTTACGGCTGCAAATTTGCATGTGCGCGTGTGCAAAATACGTTTACGAATGCGCGTTTAATGTATAACGGACGGTATAAGCTAAGCTAAAATTATCTAACTATCTATTTCAGTTAATGTTGCAGATTGCGTTGTTCCTTAATCTTCGAATTGGATCCTGCTTATTATTTTTTGCAGACTATTAGAGCAATTTTATAAAAGTAAGCTTGAACTTTTGATTATGTCAAATAGAATTCTAATGTGTAAAGGATCTGCAAAGCGAAAGTATGTTTCAGAGTCCATTAAACAAAAAGTGGAATTGCTGCAAAAAAATGGATAAAGGCATATCCTTTGTTTATCTAAACTTTAACATTTGTTTATCTAAACTTTGTTTAACTATAACGCTGTGGTACGCAATGAATTGGAAGTTGATCTGTCAGCACTATTCTTATCTTCAGGACAGATGTTTTTATTTTATTTGGCTTATAATTGCTTACTAAATGTAGTATTTCATCTCGATGTACTCTGTCTTTGATATGATTTAAATCAAATGCCTCGTCATTATAATTCGCTTCTGATAGAGAAGAAAGTGACAGAGGTTATTGAAAATGAAAAAATTTCGATTGACAAATTAGTTGGTATTCTCGACACAGCAATTATAGGACTTGAACAGCGGAACTTTGTAACTGAACAAGAAATTATGTCTGTTTATAGAATTAAAGAGAATGTATTATCACATAAAAAAATGAAGCAACTTAAACAACTTACATTGAAAAAATGTTTAATAAAGTAAAAAACAAATAAATATTAAGCTTTTTTTTTTTTTTTTTTTTTGTAAATTTTGATTACCGTTTAGATCATAATTGCTCTTTATTTCATAAATTAAGCTTTCATATTATTAACTGTATAAATTTACCATCTTACCAGATTTAAACTGATGATCTATAATCTGGAAAACCCCTAATCCGGAATCCCCGAAGTCCCGAGGAGTCCGGATTACGGACTTTGTACTGTAGTTAGAAATTTTTAGGTGAGAATAAAATATCCATGTGGAATATTTTTTTATTCTATTTGTGCAGTACAGACCTATAGAAAACAAACTGCTGACAATTTTTTTCCATTACTTATTTCTGTTTTCCTTTTTTTTTTTTTACTAAAGATATGCTCCATAATTCTGCTAAGTCCAAAGGATTCCTGCAATTAAACACAATGTTTATGAAGAGGAGACATACATTTGCATATGCTATGTCATTAGTCATCATGAATGCAGATACTTTTGAATCATATAAACTTACAAATGAATGATGTTGAGGTTGGTTCAAATTCTTGACATTTCAATTCTTTAGAATCAGGCAGAAGAAGAACCATTGAGAGAGTAACACTCCTAGAAACTGTCAATGGAAGCAATAGGTTACTTATGAAGCAATACATTTAATTCTCAGAACGGTATGATGTTTTGGATCTGCTTCATGAAGAACCTATGTTTAAAATATACATTAAACATGCATGCGTAAATGCATAATGCGTTTACACATGCACATAAAGTTTGTAGCTTCGAGGTCCGGATTATAGATCATTCTGGATTATGGACGTCCATATTACAGACTTTGTACTGTACAACTTTAATAGCCCACGTGTACAATTGGCATAGTGCTTATTTTTTTATTCATAACTTATATGCATTCAAAATTTGATTATTATGAAAAGGAAATTGTTATCGAAACTGAAAGCAAAACTTTTACATTATAGTGATGTGCTAAAGCATAGGTTTCCAATCATTTTTGGCCTACCACTCTTTTCCTAGAATAAAAAAAAATTCCCAGCCTTCCCCCCAAAAAAACTTAACCGCACCCTTTTTGACAACAACAAAAAAAAAAAAAAAAAAAAAAAAGAAGAAAAAAGAAAGAAAGAAAAAAAAAAAAAAAGAAAGAAAGAAAAAACGGACTCCCATTCTTTAAATCAATAATATTACTCATAGTTTTCTTTTTATCATACCCCTTTTTTTTTCATTCATTTGATGGTCACACCTCATAGGTGAAATGTACTACAGTCAAAAGTCATTAATCTGGACTCGTCAGGACTTTGGCGATTCCGGATTATAGGTCATCAATTTAAATCTGGTAAGATGGCTGCAGAAATTATAAAATTAAAAATATGAAACCGTAATTTGAAATAAAGAACAATTATGATCTAAAGGGTATCAAAATTTACAAAAAAAAAAAAAAAAGCTTAATATTATTTTACTTTATTAAACATTCTTTCAATGTAAGGTGTTTAAGTTGCTTCGTTTTATGTTAATACTTTCTCTTTAATTCTATAACAGACATAATTTCTTGTTCAGTTACAAAGTTCCGCTGTTCAAGTCCCTATAATTGCTGTATTGAGAATACCGACTTAATTTTTTCAATCGAAATTTTTTCGTTTTCAATAACTCTCTGTTACTTTCTTCACTATCGGAACGCGATAATGACGAGGAATTTGATTTAAATCATATCAAAGACGGAGTACATCGAGATGAAATACTGCATTTAGTAAGGAATTATAAGCCAAATAAAATAAAAACATCTGCCCTGAAGATGAGGGTAGTGCTGACACATCAACTTCTAATTCATTGCGCACCGCGACATCCCCTCCTTTGCCGCAGAACAGTGTGATAAACGGATTTCAGAATGGTTAGAGAAACAAAGGATATGCCTTTATCCATTTTTTGTAGAAATTCCACTTTTTGTTTGATGGACATCGGAACATACTTTCGCTTTGCAGATCCTTTGAGAGCTCCAGCATCAGAAATTTTATTTGACATAATCGAAAATTCAAGCTTACTTTTATAAAATTGCTTTAACAGTTTGCAAAAATAATAAGCCGGATCCAATTTGAAGATTAAGGAACAACGCAATCTGCAACATTAACTGAAATAGATAATTAGATAATTATAGCTTATACCATCCGTTATATATTAAATGCGCATCTGTACATGCATTTGCGCAGCCTTAGAAGTGTTATGCGCATGCGCAGAAAGTTGCTTTGAGTAGCTTTGAGGTCCGGATTATAGATCATTCTGTATTATGTGTATCCGAATTAACGACTTTTGACCGTATATGTTGAAAAACAAAGAGAGGTTTTAAAAACTACTTTAATAAACGATGTTAGCATATTATTGTATTGTTGAAAGTTTGGTTAGAAAATGTAATGTTATCAGTGAAAGGGCTGTGGTTGATGTAATAACCCTGATTTTCTGGTATTTGGTGCCATATTTGTCATCACAAGTTTTAAACTGCCATGTTCCATTGTTATATTATTGGCTTGTAAATATAAGCTTTTCTGATCAATCCAGAATACACAAACACCCATGCATACTGATACTCAGTGTGGTGCAATGTGCATGTTGAGACTTGTTAATATCCTAGCCAAAAAGACATTAGGAACAAAGCTGCAACCTGTTGCTGAATGGCCTAGATTGCCATAGTCTGTTTTCTATCTTCCCCCTAAAACATGCTATAAGAATGCAGCTAAAAATATTATTTGAAACTTCCAAACCTCTTTGTTTGGAAGGGGATATTGTTATTAATCTCAAATAGAATTTCAGGTATTTCAATATTTTAATCATGCAGACTTGCAGAGGCTCTCCTTTCTGTGGGTTAAAAGACATTTAAATCTGAAACACACAGTTGATGGTTCTAGTGTTAATCAAACTTTTCAGTGTGTTTTTGCAAGTATTGACCAGGGCATTGCAGTTGGTCCTCATTGCCTCCTAAATTTACCTTGCATTGAAATACCCCCCATCCTTAAATCTCTTCAGTGCTGACTGATGGGAAGTACTGACCCCATTGGGAACCGTTGTGCTAAAGTAAGTCATAAAGAAAAACTGATTAATACTTGTGTACATATAAATAAATGAAGTTATTTCAACCTTCTAAAACTTTGTTCGGAATATAAATGATATGCATCTTATTATTTTTTATCTGATAATCTAATCTCACTCAAAGAAAATATGTTTTGCTTTTTAACATAAATGGCATTCGTGATGCTGTAGGTTCTTCTGATCTGTATGCTTTACATTTTCAAATTATGTTAATTCACAAATTAAAACATGCACAGGTATTTCATACTTAATTGTATTGCACCTGGTATGTAAGAATGTGCTACGTAATACTAAAACTTTCACACGTCACTAAAAATGCAATCACATTGTCAAATAGACATGAATTTTTGTGCTACTATCTATATAACCCTCAGGAAACATATCTAATCTAAATAGGTGCTATATAATTTGAAAGTATAGTTAGATTTCTTTAATGTTTTAAATATATGTTTCTAATGTTTCTATAATTCTACTATTTCTTTGCAGTTTTTGTAATTTTGTATTGAATTCATGTTTATAGTTTTATATTTTTGTATACTTGAATGTTATTCATGCTAACTGAAATGTACAAAAACTAATGTCTCAGAGTTCTTTAAATTTTAGAATATGTAAAATTGTTAGCATAAACAATTTATACAATTTAGTCTGTGTTAACATATTGCTAATTCTTTTTTTTTTCCCCCTTTCAGAATTTCAGAATATGATTATGGCTATGAAAAAAGATCATAGAGATACAGTTGACCGAATACAGGTACAGTTTTTCATTTTACTTGAAATTAAAATGGTACTTGACAGTTTTCTTAAAATGTTCTATTCATGCTGTTGAGGAAAATTTTAATTTTTTATATTGAAATTATTATATATATAGTTATATCTTTTGCAGAAGGAAAAGGAAATTGCTCTTTTCAACCTACGAGGAGAGCAGGCATCAAAAATGAATGAATATGAAAGGAAAGTTGCACGATTGGAGCGAGAAGTTGAAAAATATCAGACTCTTGCAGCAATTGAAGAACTTACCAGAAAAGCAAAAAGAGATCTAGATACAAGCCCCATGTCACCCTCCTGTGATCTTAAATCATTTCTATCATCCTCATCTCAGATTCCTGAATCACTTATTCCTAAGTCTCGTTATTGCCAAACCGATCAATTTTATACGACTTCTGTTGCTATACAAACAGATTCAAGGATACTGAAAGATACTGCATCTTCTCCTGTTAAAGAATTACTCTCTGGTTTGACTCAGAAGTCACTGAAACCTCTTGTTCAAACTGTATCACCCCTACCTCAACAGTCTGTTGAAGACTCAAACACTTCTCCTGTTCAAAGTAGGCCAATATCGGTGGAACAGAGTTCTCATAGTGTGACTACTAAAACCATGGATCAGACAACTATTGGATTACAGCAAATCTCTTCAGGTATCCCACCACCACCACCAATGCTACAGAATGGTAAATTTAAATTTTTATGCATATTACCAGTAAAACTAGTCTATTATGTATAAAAATTGAAGAAGATTGCAAAATTGTCTCTGATATACAAATTGTAAAGTTATAATGTTTTTATGTTATTTATACAGGTTACTAATAATATACCTTTATGTTTTGGTAATTTTTCTCTTTTAAATAGCTCATTGGTATTGCCAAATTATCGTAAATTACCGTATTTGACAGCATATAAGACGCACTTTTTTTCCTAAATTTGGTCTCAAAAAAGTTACCTGTGTCTTATACATGAAGGACATAGGTTAACTTTCAATACTGAATGCTATTTCTAGCCTGGCTAAAGGTCTAGACACACATAACTTTTTGTACATCTGCCATAATTATTTTGCACATGCATAAAATATCTGTCGCGAAAAAGCGCCAAAGCTCGAAGCTGATGTCGAAGTTCGAACAGGTTCGACAGTCACATTACGTCTATGGAGCCTTTCATTCTTTGACTCGGCCGACACATGTATCGGTATCGGTGCTACTCTGTATAAACGTGTCGGTATGGGTGCTTAAAACTATTTGTTTAAAAAATACTTTGGAAATTATGACTACAGGAAACAAGAGATTAAGCTGTACAATTCAGTATAAACTAGGAGTGTTAAACTATGCCAAAGTGCATGGAAACAGAGCAGCAGCAAGGCATTTCTGTCCACCACCTACAGAAAAAATGATACGTACTTGGCGACTGCAGGAAGATCAACTGAAGACTCTAAAAAAACAAAAACATAACCTTCGATGCCCAGCTCCATCTGGCCTAACTTGAAAATGCCGTAAAAATGTGGGTGATAGATAGAGGAAATCTGGGATAAGTGTTTGAACCAAAATGATAATCAAAACAGAAAAACACGGGAATCGAATTTTCGGATTGAGGGCTGGTGCTACAGGTTCATGAAAAGGCAAGGCTTATCAATGCGCACAAAAACAACCATTGCAGAAAATGCCAGCAGATTATGAAAAAAAATACTAGCATTCCATAGGTTTTTATAATGCCACAAGAAACTTCTTTTGAGCTCGGTCAATAGGAAATATGGATGTTGAAATTCCACTCCATTGATGTCCATCCAACAAGACGGAGTATTAAAGGGTCTAATCAATAACCATAAAACCACAGGTCATGAAAAAAGACAGTAGTTCTAAAATGTGTGCTGATGGCAAAAAGACCGCCGTTTTTCATATTCAAAGAAAACTTCCAACGGGTGTAATTGTTCATGATATCCAAAGGCTGGATGGACGAAGCTGGAATGAAACTGGGTACAGAACGTATGTCCAAGGCGACCTGGTGGACTCTTAAGAAACCCTCTTTTTGGTTTAGGCTCAGTTTAGCCCATAGAACTGAAACCATAAGAATAAGGCGAGAGAATTAAAAACCCAGATAGCTGTATTCCTGGTGGACTGACTAGCCAATTGCAGACTTTGATGATTGGTGAATAAGCCATTTAAGGAAAAAGTGCAAGAACGATGGAACAAATGGATAGGAGAGCCACATCACGCACTCACATCCTCAGGTAGAATGAAACGGCCCTCTATTTCACAAGTGTGCGAGTGAATAAAAAGATCTTGGGAGGACGTAAAGGCTGAAGTAATTAAGTCCTTTAAGATATGCGGAATCAGTAATGCTCTTGATGAACAGAAGACGGATTACGAAGAAGGTGATACTAGCGATGACAGAAACAATAGTATGACGATATTCTCGTTTCGATGATGATATATAGTGAAAAGGATTTTTATGGTTTTGAAAGTGATTAAAGTCTAATTTCATGATAGGCAACGTTTTCCTTAAATCTGTTTTTTGTGTTCTGCTTTATTTGTATTGTTTGCTGTTCATTCATTTGTGTCATTATTGAAATTACTATCATGTTCAAAATACTTCCATTGTTAATTTTCCTAATAAAAATATGTTTGCTAATTGCATTCAATGATTGTTTTATTTGGCTTTTACGAAATGTGAGAACTAAAAGAAACCACATTTTAAGTTATTGTGGTATTGCACTATCAAAACTTTTTTCCTTGTGTGTGGCCTTCTAAATAAGGATGCGTCTTATATGCCGTCAAATACGTTATGTGTACAATTAGTTAATTGGATATTTCATTACCTTGAGAAAATTTAAAATGAGAGTTTGGAGAGGAGGTCAGGTTTATTTGAGACAGTACACCAATTACTGGAAAATCTAATAGACTGAAGGTTTCATTTGAGTAATGCAGAAGAGTACTCTCTACATATTCTTCCAGTAATAATATTTTTTTGCCTATGAATGAATTGGATTAACTTAGGGCTGTAATAAGAATTGTATTCAGGCAAGTTTAATCCATTACTGATTTGTTGTATCTCACTTTTGAACTTGAGAAGGATTTAGATGATCCTTTCAGTAAATTGTCATTCTAGGCAGCTGTGTGTGTTGCTGTGTGTAGAACCAGATCTGAAATTAATTTTAGCAAGTTTTGCTTAGTTAGCTTGTTAGTACTGTATGAAGTACTTGCAGGAAATTTTTAAAGAATGCAAAAATGTTGAGGAATATTCCTTGATATCACCAAGAGATGGTGTTAGAAGTCCATCTATTGGTTTACTTAACATCTCCCCATCTGAACACGTTAACTGTTATTTAAAGAAATACAATACTCAAAATATCAACGCCAATTTAAATAATTCATCTATAGAAGTTGAACCCAAAAGACAGATTGAAGGTAATGTGAAATTGCCCAAACTGTTAATTCACAAATTTTCCAGAGACTATAATGATTGGATGAATTTTTGGAATTCATTCAAGGTAATGATAATGTTACACTTTCGAAGATCGGAAAATTTAATTATTTGAAAACTTATTTATGTGGAAACAAAGCCTCGGCCATAGAAGGTCTCTCAGTCTCAGAGGCTAAACATGACTCTGCTATAGACATTCTTAAAAATAGATTCAGTCAAAATGACCTTATTATGAAGTGACAAAATTGCGAAAACTGTATGATACAATTAATGTTCAAATCAGGAACTTTTTAGCACTCGGTGTGAAACCAGAAACATATTCCAACATGTTTATTCCAATTTTGATAAAAATTGTCCTGAACGATGTAATTTTAGAATTTCATCGTACAAATACTGAAAATACTTCAACATATGATTTAAACAAATTTCTAGACTTTTTCCGATTAGAAATAGAATCACGAGAAAAAATTTATTCCTTATCCTTTCCACACAAGTCAAAACCAGAAATGAAAAGTATTAACAGATATCCACTGACACCAAAACATAAACAAACTGTCATCATGCATGAATTTATGGCAGACACAGCATCAAATCAAAACTGCATTTTTTTTTTTTTTTTTTTTTTTTTCAAAACTATTACTCAGAATCCTGTTTATGCTTTACAGTTAATGAGAAGAAAGATATTTTGAAGAAGCAAGGGCATTGTTTTCTGTGCCTTGCACCTAAACACAGAATTTCAGAATGCCGCCAACAGCAAACTAAAATTTGTAAAATTTGCAAAGGTAAACATTTCATATGTTTTAAATCCAGTTCAGCAGTTAAAAATACAGCAAGTGATAAAAAGGATAGTATATCAATTTTGAGAAATGATACACAAACTAAGGAACAAAAAGAAGAATTGTTTCGACCTTTTCACATAGTGTAAATAACATAATTCGTTTAAAGACTTGCACAATAAAAGTTAAAACAGCAAAAACATTAAATACATAAGCAAAAACCTTGTTGCACTGAAAACTATTTTCGGCTGGTGCCTACATGGACGAAAAGGTGATGATGATGTCTCTTTAGCTTTCAGTGTACGAGGGCATTTCGAAAAGTAAAGATACAATGGCTCGCATTTCTTAAAAAAATTTCCTTAACAAAACTTCCTTAAAAAATTTATTTAGAAAACGTCAGTTACATCTTATTAACTGGATTATTTATTATTTTTCGACATAATCACCCCCGTATCAAACATTTGTAAGTCGGTGCACAAGCTTGTATCCCAGACATAGAAGGTTGCCACCTGTTTGACCAGTGCGCACACCAATTTCCTGTACCTAACTTGACAGTCACAACTTTATAATTATTATCATTGACACTTCCGGTATGATCTGATGCAATTCTTTCAATTTGAGATGTCTATTCACACGACTTGCTTCCTCTGTTCTCTGAGAAGGCATCAGAGATCACAATGGCCGACCTGTTCTTGTTCGTCATGAACATCGTCCACTTCAGAGAAATGACACACCATTTCGGACAGTTGTCGATGCATAATGTACATAAACAAAACAATTTCTTTGTGAATACGCTGATCTGCCTTTCATGAGAAACATTAGAACGGAGGCACTTCCATTTGGGGGATCAAATCGCGCGCATTTTAAACGACCACTCAACCAGATCACGTGAAATACCAAACGACGCGAGGAGAAAGCTGCGGTTCAAGGTAAACTGTTTGCCAACTTGCTCACCAAACGTTTCGTTCCTCGGGTACGTGTCTCTTTCTTTTGGAATGCCCAGTTTGTAGGGAAATTGATTTCTGAACAATGCAATTTGGGACTGGAAACTAAATTTGAGGGAAAACTGCGATTCAACAAACGAAGTCAGTAATTTTGCATCAATATATTATGAAATCTTCTACAAGTTAGGTTCCTTGGAACAGACAATCAATCTAATATATAGGGACGCCGACAAGATTAGCGATTCGAAAACGATTAAAAAAACAAAAAAAAAAAAAAAAACCTAATCTATTTTGAAATAGCATCGATGTATTACAGATAGGTTAAAACAAAATCTTATCAACCATCAAAAATTTCAATGGAAAGGAGGTTTTTTACTTACCAATAGGAAGTTTACACAAGGATCAACGCAAGTAAATTATGTATTGGTTATTGTGCATCATCGCTTGCCCGGTCCTTTCTTTAAATACGTCACATGTTGGGCCCATTATACCCTGAAATATTGTTAAAATTTTGGTATAATCCAATAGCTTTCACCGCAGTTATAAAACAAGCCTTTTTACAGATTCTCATGCATGGAAAGGATCGGAACGCAACCAGGTTTCTGTTCTTTGAACTCCCTAATGATGAAACCATTTCTCCTGACATATATAAGTTCACTAGAGTTTTATTCAGAATAAATAGTAGTCCATTTCTGTTAACCACTACCATTAAACGTCATCTGAAAAAATATAATAAACTCTATCCTACAACAGTTCACTTCTTGAATGAGAACGTATATGTAGATGATGTGATTGGTAGCCAACTAACGATCAATGAAGCATTAACTAGGAGTCTAGAATCATTCCAGATATTTAAGGAAGCAAGCATGCAGCCTCACAAATGGCATAGTAACTCAAGACAGCTACATGCATTGTGAGTAAAACAGGGTATTGTTCCAAATGAAAGTCCTAATGCTTTTAATAGAGAAAATTTCCCATTTAAGGTCTTAGGTAGGGCATGGGATAATTCAAACGATTTACTGTATTTTGATGTTTGAAACCTATTGTCTTTTACATCTAAACCAATAGAAACAAAACGATTTCTTGAAGAATCCGAAACTTCAACCAGAACTAAAAGTAGGAGATGTTGTTTTGGGTGAAGGAGACAATAAAAGCAAACTGTTGTGGAACGGCAGAATCATCAAAATATCTGATTGAGGCTAAGTCCGATCATTCAATAAGAACGGTATGGGACTTAAAAGTACTGTCGACATGAAAATTTTAACAAATTTAGTTCATTGATTATTAAACGTTATTATGAACTGTTGGATAACGGTTGTATGAGGGGGGGACGAAGTAGAATTTTTCTTTTTTTTTTTTTTTTTCTTTTTATGATAGTATATGTACTCTGTATGTTGTATCAGTTAGATGACTCTTTTCAGATTCAGGTGGGGGATGGTGAGGATATCCTTGATGCGCAGGAGGCGTTATAAGTCCATCAGTGGTTACGCACGCTTCCCTTATGAACCATGACGGGCAAAACATTTGTTTGGGAGTTACTGTATATTTCTGTAGTATATTCCAAAACAACGATTAAACCTTAATGTAAGTACGAATTTAATGTAAAAACGCATCTCAAATCTTTTGAGGGTAGCAAATCAGCAATTTGCATAGTACGCGTATTTATAGATGGTTAAAAATATGTATTATTAAAAAATAAAAATCATTTATATTTTTGCTTTTTATTTCATTCAGATTCTACTGTTGTGCCATTTGTTCCACTACCAGTGTGTGGAATTCCACCCCCTCCTCCACCTCCTCCTCTGCAAATGGGTGAAATTTCCTCTACAGCTGGAATACCTCCTCCACCACCACTACCTCCTATGAGTGGAATACCACCTCTACCTCCTCCTCCTCCATTACTCTCTTCTGTTACTAGTGGAATCCCTCCTCCTCCGCCTCCTCCTCCACCACCACCACCTGTAGGTATAGGAATTCCACCTCCACCTCCTCCTCCACTGCCTTCTTTTGGCACTGAAATTCCAGTTCCTCCACCTCTTCCTGGTGGTACACAGCCACCACCGCCACCTCCTCCGCCTCCTCCTCCAGGACTACCGTTAAGTGGTTTAACTGGGCCTTTACCAACAAGTGGTGTTCCTGTATCTCCATCTCCTTTACCACCCCCTCCTGCAGGTGGATGGTATGGTGCATATAAAACAGGTAAGTATATTTTATTTTTAAATTTCAGAGAAATTTATAATTATGCCTGCTATATAAATGGAATAACGGTAATTGATAATTTGTCTAGTCTTGGAAAGGATTTCTGTCTTTTTTTTTTTTTTTTTTTTAATTTTTGGTAGTATTTCATATTTTAAGTTTTGCAGTTACTACTATAAAAATTTCAATAGTGTGTAATAATGCAAAATTTTAAAGTGTTACTTGAAAGCTTTAAAAAGTAATTCAGAATATAAAGAAATTTCCTGAAGTCTTTTGAAAGTGTTACAAATATCTGCAGGATGCAACATGAGAAACAATTTTTATTACAGTTGGTCAGCTTCATTTTGAAATTTGAGAAATTGTGGGAGGGGAGAATGCAAGAATAAAAAAGCAGTACTAAGTTTTTTTTTTTTTTTTTTTTTTTTTCAGGAAGCTATGAAAACTAAATACATACGATTTTAGTTTTTGTACATCTGCAACTGTGCATTTTTAGCAGTTGGAATTGTTTGAAATTTTCTAACTGGTTCTTATCTATATGTAATATTTTGCTTCAAAAATTACTTAAGTCTATCCAGTGCTAGATTGAGCTTTAGTGGGACCTGGACAAAATTTAAATTGGAGCCTTATCTGTATAAGGAAGTTGTTTCAAAGGAAATCTTAAATACTATCACTTCAAATTTTTATTAATAATACAGAATACATACTAGTAAGTACAGTAGTAATTGCATAATGAAAGGTCTAATGTGAAAAATACATAAAAATATATGTAGTTATAGTTATTAATAGCTTTTAAAAATTTAACTTTTATGTTTTTGTTTTTAGATTTTCATTGCAAAAAATTGATCAATAATATCTTCATAATTTAGTTATTCTAAAGTATATTTTTCTACAGTAAGCGTAATCTTAACGTAGGGGTTCCAATTCTTTTGGTTTATTCTGACTTCACAAACTTCATTTTGTACCATTAAAATAAATTGTGTCAACTCACTGTCCAGTTCTTCACCCTGAATGCTGTTCGCCTATCCCAATGTCATTGAAGTAAATAGTTTTTATATCAGTTAATAGAATCTGATATATTCTTTAAATTTAGTGCTTTAAAATTTAAATTTATACATTTTAAAGTGCTTTAAAATGTATTTGAAATATTTTGTTAATTTCTTGATATGTTTTTATTTTGTATCCAATACATCTTCATTTATTGTTTCCATTTCCTAGATTTTATGCACTCATGTATAAAATGTCATATTAAAGTGCACGAGTGCTGCATTGTTTGCGAGTAAAAAGGAATCTCATAAGAAAAGCCTGATTTGGCAAAATGGCTAAATGCTTTCAACATACAAATATGCAGCTTTTGCTGCATGTGTACTCGTACTACTTAATATCATTTAAATAGAAAATGTACTCTTGAATGCATTTACCTTGCATTAAGAACTGTATTGCCTATTATTCAATAAAAACTGTATTATATATTTCATAGAAAAGGGAGGGGGAGCAAAATGTATTCAAAGCACATGCATGATTATTTTTTTGAAAATTTTCTGTAATTTAACTATTGACCTATTTATCGAAACTTCTGTAATTAAGCTGAGTGATGACTGAGTGATGTGCTTTATAAATTTTACTACTGTTAGATGTACTTTCAAATTTATTGTTTGCTGTAGTTTATGTTAATGCAGGTTCCCTGTGAGGAAGCATAACTCGAGTTCCATGCAAATATGCATAATTTCTACATTAACAAAAAAAGCTTAAATATTTCATAGAAATTTCCACACATATTCTGTGACTAAAATCGTTTCACTTCAGCAAAATAAAATTTAAATATTTCATAGACATAAAATGCGCTTCTGAATTGATTTCTAGTATAGCTTCCTTATTTTCCACTGGCATGTTTCATATTGTTTTCTTTCTGAAGCTTTATTAAGGAATAGGGCCCTTGATCCTGGATTACATTGTAACTGTATCAGTTAAACTCTTATAAGTAAGCTGTTTTAAAAATGGGAATTTTGTGCATTCATAATACAATACACTTTTTAAATGAATATTGGATTTTGAATCCTATAGCATATTCTGCATATTTTAAGCAGATAAATAATAATAGGACACTGCTTACAAGTTTTTTTAATAATTTTATAATAATTCCCTCTTTTCTAGGTTCTAATAATTCATTATAATTGATTATTATTGGTTGTATTGTACTTCATATATATTTATATAATTAATCAAAGTGCAAATTCAGGAATTGGATGCAATAATTTATGATTTGATATTTGACTTTAATTAATACACAACTATATAGAAAGAAAAGGGTGATTTTCTGTCATATTTATGCTCATAAATAATTTGCTTCATTTTGCAGCTCGGAAACCTCCAGTTAGCCCTAAGGTGCCCATGAAACCACTTTACTGGACTCGCATTCAAGTTCAGGAACCAGCTGTAGCTGCTTCTGAGTAAGCATCAAAATTTTATGTTGCTATTTCATTTTAGTATATGACTAATCTCCCCATTTGAGTTTAATATCTGTTATTCACTCACTTATAATAGTAGCATAATTTTCACTTAATTATTAAGAGTTTGTAATTTACTTATGCCTTGTTGAATGCCTTGTTGTTACATTTCATTTGTTAGTTTTTTATTATTTAGTTCTATATAAACCTGAAAAAATAGCTTTTTATAGATTTGGTATTATATTGTTATTGTTTATTTTTGATAATTAAAGCATACAGGATAATTTAATTTTGAATTATCTTGAATACCGTATTTGACGGCATATAAGACGCACCCTTATTTAGATGGCCACACACAAGGAAAAAAGTTTCAATAGCGTGGTTTCTTTTAGTTCTCACGTTTCGTAAAAGCCAAATAAACAATCATTGAATGCAATTACCTTCACATATAAGACTGTGTCCTTCACATATAAGACGCTAGTAACATTTTTTAGACCAAATTTAGGAAAAAAGTGTGTCTTATATGCCGTCAAATACAATAGTGGGTTTTTTTTTTTTTTTTTTTTTTTTTTTTGTTGTTGTTAATGCAGCCAACATCACCGGATCTGATTAAAATAAAATTTTTGTCTTTGAGGCATCGGGAACTTTGCATAAGGAATAAACATGCCCACACAGGCTTTTATAGTTTCCCATATAACCAAAAGAAAAACTAAACTGTCGAAACCCAAACATTAAATGACTACCCTTGTTCGTTTCAAGAATTTTTTAACACATGTCCAGAGTGGCTGTTCTAGACTATAGTGACGCAATAAACAATCATTGCAATAAACAATCATTGGCTTGGAGTGATAAATCCATTATCTGGACATTTTGCTGTTTAAGATAGGCAAGAAAGTTCATTTTTATCCTAACTGAATAACAATTTGGCATTCATTTTCTTTCTCAATTTTAAAAGGATTTTTAGACTCCCTATTCTAAGAAGAATGTTCATTGGATTCTATTAAGAACTGCTATAATAAAAATTGCCCTTTTACCAAGAATGGGATACTGTCAATGATTTCAGATTCACTCAAGGTGAGATTTGGCCTCACTGAATCTGTAATGTCTTTTAATTTTTGATTGAGTACTTTATCAACTATTGTAGTATTAGCTTTGACTATACAAGATTTGCAGACATAGGAATCAGTTGGCTTCCATTAAGTTGAATCTTTATGATTTCTTTTTTGGGCAGACCTTATGATATTCGCATATTGTTTCCAGCTCAAATTTTAAAATTTTAGAAGAGCAGTTTATGTCTTATGATGTCATTAATGAACTTATTATAAACTTTTTGAGTATTTTTTACCATTTGTTGCACATCTTCTCCATCATTTTTCTTTCTCATTTATTTAAAAGTTCATTCTTTTTCCTTTGGGAAAGAAAGCAGTTATTCAGTATTATTTTATATTGCTAAGAATTTGTATTTTAAGTGAGAGCTAAAGCATATGAATCTTAAATTTTGTAAATGACTCTCACAGGAATAAAAATTGTTTATGGCAGAAGCTTGAAGAACCAGTTCCTGCTGATTTGGATGAATTTGCTGAATTATTTTCTCGTCAAACTCCAGAAAAGAAACTAACATCAAAATTAAAAACTGCTAAAGATAAAAGTAAACAGGTATGGTTTATAGATTTTATCTACATTGTAGTTTATTCATTCTTAAACTGTAATAACTTCAGATGTAAAATAGTCATGTCGTGATCTTTGTCTTTAATAGGTCGCTAAACTTTTAGATCAAAAAAGATCTCAGAATGTTGGAATATTAATTTCAAGCCTTAGAATTGAAATAGCTGATGTTGAAAATGGTATTTGAATTTTTTTAATTTTAAATGTTTCATTTGTTTGGATTTCTTCTGTTTTTAATAAAATGTGAAATATTTTTGTAAAATTTCCATGCGTTTTCTCTCTCGCTCTTCTTTTAAATGTAATTTTTTTTTAACAGCTGTCTACAATTTTGACACTTCAACATTAGATCTTGATGCTCTTCAAGCTATTTATGAAATTGTAAGTTTTGTGTCATATGCTTATTCAATTAATGATTTTACACGTTTTGATTATTTTGATACTATGGAAATTGAATTGTGTTTGCATTTATAAAGGGTTTATGTTTATTTAATGCAAATTATGATTCTTCCTACAATTTTAGTTTGGCATCAAAACTTATATATAAGTTAATTATGGACATGGCATTTATTATAATAATTAGATTGTTATTATGCGTCAGTAGAGGGTTAAACTTTCAAACATGTAATATAAGTCTATTTCTCTTAACGTTTGATAAATATTACTGAGTGGATGAAGTATAATTCCAAGTGCAGTCCTAAATTATAGAAGTGAGAATATAACTAAATAAAACATTAAAATATGAAAAACATTTTTGGAAAACAAAAAGTTCTTAAGCATTGCATAGCAAAATTTATAAAATTAGGAGTAAAAACCAAATGATTCCAGTAAGAAGCAAAATTCTGTCTCTTATTGAAGCACATAAAGGGGATTAAAATCTTGACTTATTTCAAAATTCCAACAAATTTAGTGAATGCAATCAGGTAAAAAATGTATCATTATGATCTAAAAATAAGCACAGAAACTTTGGCATACAATTTTTTAGTCTATCTCATTACCTTGGTAAATTTTTGCTTACAGAAATTTCTGCTTCCTTGTTCACCCAATTTTCACTTATTTAGTGGGTAATAATAATCACACTGTATAGATTATTATTACCCACTAAAGCTAAAAGAAAAAAGCTCAACCACTCTATAGATATTTGCATGAATTTTTTTACTCAGGTGCATCTTAGATCGGAAAAAAATGTTGCACTGTGGTCACTTGACAGCAAACATTCCTTTAACCCAGGGTTTCGTAAACTGTGGGTCTCAACCCCCAAGGAGGTTTGCCAAAACTTTTAGCAGTTTTGATATTTCGTTAACTTATCATAATAATTTTACAATTACTAAATATTTTTACACAATGTATCTGAAAATAGATAAAGATAAGACAATACAGACAAAGAAAAAAACGAAAACGTTGCAATGCATTGTTTTTATAATATAAACATTCATTTTCCTTGCTTTGCACATTACGTTGCCGTTTCATCTGTTACTTAATTTAAATTTTCACATTGTTGTATGTCTTAAAATTAGAAATTAAAGCTAATGACCTAAAACTGCAATAGTATATAACAGTACAAGTGAAAAAACTTACAGTTTCACTCATGCATGTATTGGATTTGCACAATACTTATGGGGGTCCCACAAAATTGTTAATGTTATGGGGTTCTGGGGGTCACTTAAAAATCTCAGTGATAAAAGGGGGTCGTGACTAGAAAAAGTTTAAAAACCCTGCTTTAACCTTTTATTACTTCATGCTTATATTCTTTGGTGAATATTTAACTTGAAAATTTTGAAATCTCATTTAACAAAAACTGTTAGAAAGTGAGATCTGTCAAAAGAATAATGGATTGTAATCAATTATAAAGTTTTATTCATCAATAGAAAGGCACAGGTGCCTTAAGGATCAGAACTGTATGCTCTTGCTAGCGCTGATGGCTATTACAAGGCGATGGTGTAGGAGCCCAAAGGAATAACTGCTCTGCTCGCAGTCTACAGAGGTTCTGCTGGTTAAGGGGGGCAGCGCCCTCTAGTGAGATGAATGTTACAACAATAGGATGGGACGGAACATCCCACCCCACATTAAAATATTTATATTTCAATGCAAAATAAGACTTGTAACATAATAAAGTATAACATAATACTATTAACATTAGGATATCCATTACGACATAGTAAATTCTGGGGTATAATAGAATGAAGTAGCATAAACATTTATACAGTTACAAAATTGATAATATCTAATATAAATTGATTCTACATTAATGAGGTTCATCAAATAAACATACGTATTATTATTCAATAGGTAGCAGACATATTTTGGATGTGCATCTTTTAAATGTGCCGGTAGGAGTTCTAACCATAACTACATCATGTCCGGTTATAACTTCCTGCATATGACATGTAGCCCATTTTCAAGGAGGCAGATTATCTTCTATTATTATTATTTGAGTAAAGAAGGGCACCAGGGTTTACGTTTGTCTTGGCAGATTGCCATTTATTGCGCTGCTGCAAATGGTAAAGATAGTCTCGATGCTACTTTTTCCAAATTGACTGAACCATCTTAGTAGTTTTTTGCCAATGAGACAGCCTATTTTCTTTTAGATGCAATACATCAGGTTCTGCCATGGCATTTAATGGGTGTCCAATCAGAAAATGGCCCAGGAGTGAGGACTTCATAATCTGTAACTTCAGAGGATAATGGAGATAAAGGATGTAAATTCAGAATTCCCTCTATTTGAATAGAAACAGTCAGAAACTCTTCTTGCTTTCTAAATATTGTGGGGGTGTTTAAATGATTTAACGTCTGCCTCCCAAAGCCCTCCAAAGTTAGGGGCTCTAGGTGGAAGAAACTTCCAAACAATGCCTTCTGAATCTAAATAGAATAATCTACTCCAAATTCTGATTGTTTTACTAACTTTTCCAACCGTTGTAATTCTGAGTGCACACTTACAAAATTCATTGCATTGTCTGAGAAAATGGCTGAACTCTTACCCTGTTGGGCAAAAAATCTTTTTAAGCCAGCAGTCAAAGACTCAGAAGTAAGGTCTGTCAGAAATTTGAAATGAACAGCTTTAGTAGCAAAACGGACAAAAATACAAATATAAATCCTTTGCAAAATGCTCTTTCTCTACCTCTTGTATTTTATTTGAAAAGGACCACAAAGGTAAATGGCAGTTTTGGTGATACTCTTTCAGATGGAAGATTACTCATTAATTGAGTCACTGCAGTGGGATGCATTTTAAAGTAAGTTAGGCATTCATGAACTACCTTTCTGGCTACGTTGCGAACATTGATAGGCCAAAATTGTTGATGTACACTATGTAAAAGAGATTGCGGCCCTACATGTAAATCTCCTTTGTGAAAGTATTCCATTATGAGCTTCGTAGATCTACCATTTGGTGGGAGGATGATGGGATATTTTTGATTGTAATTCAAGTTGGAGCTACTTTAACGGCCTCCTACACGTATTAAACCTTTCTTATCCAAGAAGGGATTAAAAGATTTTAATTTACTCTTGTTGGAGACTGGTAGACTTCTTTTTAGAGCCGAGAGCTCTTCAGGAAAATACTGTACCTGCGAGTTTCAAATGAGGGTATCTCAAGCCTCGTCGTGTTCTTCTAAATCCAGGGGACTCTGGTGTTTATGTTTGGAATTTCTGGCATTGTAAATAAATCTAAAAATAAAACTTAAAATTCTAATGAGTTTCCTATAGTTATTAGTCCTGTTCATAAGTTCATTTAACATATCATTACTTGTGGACATAGCTAAAGTCGTAGTCACAGGAGATTTCAGTTCAGTTAGATATTGGTCATCTGCAGGGCTCACAAATATCTTAGTCATAGATACACACACTTCCTTAAGTAGAAATGATGGTCCATGCCACCACATGTTATTTGATGCTATTTCTTCTGGAATCAGACCTCTAGAAATTAAATCCACCAGATTGTCCTTTGAGGAAGCATGTCTCCAAATTAAGTTTTCCGTGAGACTTGTATTTTGTTTACTCTATTACCTGCAAACGTTTTGAGTGAATCAGGAGATGTGGCAATCCAGGCTAATGCGATTGCTGAGTCTGACCACAGAAATGCTTCACTGATATCTAATTTCAGTGCAGAGAGAGCCTTCTTTACCAGTTGAGCTAGAAGGAGACACACACAGTTCGAGTCTCAGTACAGAGATTTTCTTTAATGGTGACACTCTAGATTTAATACACAACAGTTGAGTAGAGCACTGCTCACTAGATATTGATTGAAGGTACAGAACCGCTCCAAATGCTGTTTCAGAAGCGTCAGCAAACCCATGGAGCACAACTGTAGTATTTGGGTTCATAGTCCGTCTAGGAATGTGAAGCTTCTCGATTTCGGTAAGTGTAGAAACAAAATGTGTCCATTGCTTAGCTAAAAGTTCAGGAAGATGCTCAATGTCTGCAGTAAATGCATATAGATGCTTTCTAAAACGCAGCATAATTGAAAATAAATCATCTTAGATTGTGCCACCCTTTAGTAAAATGTCATTTAATGAACATCCATTTGTTGTTTTACAGTTAGCATTAAAAACCACCCGAAGTTTAGTGCTACTCTTTTCCTTTTTATAAACCCCATGGTGAGGTAAGTAATAGGCAGCCTCAGTTTCAATTTCAATTTCCATCATGTGATTTAGCTCATAAATTCAGTATACAGCTTCGTCATTTGTGGTTGGCGTTCCAAACGATTCCATAAGTGATCCAATCATAAATATTCCAAACGATTCCATAAGTGATCCAAGCATTTTGACGTGATTTCCTTAGAACTTCCAAGAGGAATTTCTAAGTTTCTTCATCATCAGCTTTTACAGGCATCTTTACTACGTAGCGTCCATCCGGTTTTCTGCTATGGGTTTTTGCATAATGTTATTCGCAGAATTGCATTTCCTTACTAGACGGGGGTTTATTACCTTCTATGCTTTCCACCTCCCAAAATTGTTTCATCGTTTCATTTAATGACTCTAGACTTGTTGTCAGATAACAATATTGCTTTGGTGATACGATACCTACAATATTGCTTTGGTGATATGATACCTTAAGTTTCTAATGCACCTGAAACTATGTATCCGAAAACTGTTTCATAGAAAAGCAATCCGTTAGCTTCGGATCGAATTTTTCCCGTCTTTAAAATTTCAAAAAAATAGCTTAGCACCTATTAATAGGTCTATTTTTTTAGGTTTAAAAAATTGAGGATCAGCCAATCGTATGTTTTTTGGAATACCATCATTCGAAATCATTAGGGGTTTTGAAGAAGTGGTATCCGTACTTTTGGGGACAATGAAAAAATCCAAATTCTATTCAGATGTGAGTTCTTTATTTGATATTTTAGCATGTTTTTTATTTTATGATTGTTTTGTTATTCCAGCGATTAATGCGTTCACGAATGTAAACGACAGCTGTACTTAGTAAGACAGTTTTGGTTTCAGTAGAAACGATCAAAGAGCTTTGGCTGGGAGAACTTTGAAACTTTGAAACTGAGAAGACTCGCATCTCTGTCCCTTTTTTTCACCTGCCACATCCGCTCCGAAGGGGAGGAAGAAACCGTCTTCATCGGCTGGGTCCATTGTTCAGCCATAGGAGACAAGGCCTTATGTCCTAATGGTAGTTCTCTCTTGGCACTATTATGAAGTAATGAGTGATGCCTACCTTTCGCAAGCGAGGCAGCTGGTTTTACATTTGCAGACAATTACCTTGTGAAAGGGTTGTAAACAATAAGAACAAAGCTTATGCTTCTTAACAAGATCAATTCTTTCATTAATAGTAGCGTTTTTGAATGCTTCACGTTTATATCGAGTGATTAGAAAAGCATATTCTGCATTCTTCCTTTCCGTTGTTAGATTTAATTAGAAGACTTTTAGAAGGATTAAATGAAGAATTTGCGGAATTATGAGAATTGTTCAAAACCTTGTTAGTTTGCGGTATATTTCTAGAGATACTTTCTAAGACCTGACTTCTTTTTTAAAGAAGGAAATGAAGTCATCTAACTCTGGAACTTCAGTTGAATTAGCTGAGATCTCAAATTGTTTACGTGATTCAAGGTCTAATTTTTGGAGAGGTATGTTTATTAATAAAATGTCTGATAATTTATTGTGCTCATAGCTGAGTAGTTTCAATGCGTGCAAATTCTTTTTTAAACAGTAACAAGTCACGCAATTCTTTTGCTGATTCCCATTTTAACTTCGGATAACTCATAATGTTACCAATATGAGTATCTACAAAAATCCTTTTGTTTTTGTATCTTTCCTCCAGTGCTTTCATCAAAGATTCGTGTCATCTGTTGTTTCGATTTGCTTTGCTTTGTCTTTTAAAGATGCATGCAAATAATAAAAAACCTTTTGAGAGTTTGATAAATGAGGATTATAAGAAATAGGGTTTTCAAATGCAATTTTAAACGCATTAAAATCTTCATAACAACCGGAAAATTCTGATAACGGTATTTGCAGCAATGGGATTTCAGCAGATTTCGACCTTGCCGTATTAACCTCTTTCTCTGCATTTAATGTACCATCTAACAATTCTAAAAATGAAGAAATGAGGTTTAAAAAACTTACCTCATTCTTTTCTATTCTTGAGTCCATATTTGCAAGATCCTCATCTATTTCTTGTAACTCTTCATCTTTAGCTTCTCGATAAAATTGGTTCCGCAGATCTTCTAAGTCTTTAGCGGATTTCCTCATGGAATTCAATTTAATATTTATTTCCACTGCTGAAGGTGGTGCATCCAAGGTGATATTGCGGACAAAAGTTTCTAGTTGTGTGATTTTCGTTTTCAAAGAAGCTTTCTGTCTTTTAAGATATGCTAACATCATTTTAATCCGCTCTCCGGGTCGTTAAGGACCAAATGTTAGAGAGTGAGATCCGTCTAAAGAATAATGGACTGTAATCAATTATAAAGGTTTATTCATCAATAGAAAGGCACAGGGGCCTTAAGGATCAGAGCTGTATGCTCTTGCTAGCGCTGATGACTATTACAAAGAGTTGGCATAGGAGCCCAAAGGAACAACCACTGTGCTCTCACGGTCCGGTCTACAGTGGTTCTGCTGGTTAAGGGGGAGCCGCACGCTCTGAGATGAATGTTACAAAAATAGGATGGGACGGAACAAAAAAACTATATAAATATATTTTGTATATTACATTATTGGGAATTCATTTATTAGCATTAAATTTTTATTGGTTAAAATGATTACAATTTTAAATCTTTCTAGTTAATTTTATTAGATTTTAAATATTGTCAGTGTCATCAAATTCAAATTGACATATAGAAATGGCTTACTTTTTTCATAATCTTTGTAATGCAACACAGTGTTAAGAGGCTTAGGCAGGTTACATGACTAAATGCTTCTGTATTTATTATTTTTCACAGGTAAAGGGATAGGTTACAGGCTTATCTTTTTTTTTTTTTTTTTATTTGGTGTGTGTGTGTGTGTGTAATGTTTAGTATGCACATAAAGTGACAAGAAGTTTAGACAGGTTATATGATTAAATGCTTATATTTTGTCTGTTTTCAAAATTAAGCAAAAGTGTGTTAATAGATAAAATGACAGTATTCAAATTACTTCAGGTAATTGTAAAAACTGTATTTTACTGCATGCTAGGAGTTCCTGTGAAATTGTTGTAAACATATATTTTGTTTATTATTTATGGTAGGTTTTTCATTTATTGCATGTGTTATTTCACTGCACAATGTAACAGTTTCATATAAAAACCTGATTTTCCCATGCTTGTTAATGTCAAAAGCTCAATTCTCAGGACTTCAGATAGTTGATCTTTTCTTGAGACTTAATGTGAGCTGTATATATTTACCAGGTGCTGTGCATTCTTTTTTAGAGGCCAACTGCAGAAGAGTTGCAATTAATAAAAGATCACTTGGACAAGAACAATGATATTCCTTTGGACAAGCCTGAACAGTAAGTTTTATTACTAACTTATTAATTATACATTTGTATTAGTTAAAAATAATTAATCAAGAATTTCTATTTCTAAAATTAAGGTATCCATTATTAGTGTTAAAATTATGTATATCAGCTTCTGTACCTAGCAAAAGTATAAAATTCAGTAGAACAGACTGGTGATACAAGCCACTCTTCCTTATAAAGTCTTCTACAGGATATCTCTCTATTTGGTGGCAAACATTGTGTGATTTGCTGCAATCAATTTAAGAAAAAAAATAAAAGAGAGAGAGAGCAGATGGACCAGATATAGAGAAATGTGTATTATGTTAGATCTTTAACTATATAACAACTTCATTTGTCAACAGTTTTAAATTTGTAACATACATACATACACACACATATATGAATTTATTATAAATGAAAAATGTAATTATCCCAAGAATTTTCGTGCCTTGTACTGCAGAAAATTGATCAATAGAAACATAAAGAAATTTAGAACTAATTTTTCACAAAAACCAAAAAATGAAATTTAAATAAATGAATTTCAAAAGATCCTACAAATGTAGAATATAATGATGTAAATTTAAAAATAAAATTGAAATGAACCATCACAAGAAAAAAAGCAAAAAAAGTAAAAAAGAATATGAAAGAAGAGGAATTCAGTGAACTCCAACATAACATTGTCAAGAACAGGTACATTGAAATTAAGTACAGTTCCTCTCCCATGAGAAAATTCTTGCTTTTCTGTATCCAGAATTAACTGATGAACTTATTCCTATATATTTTTGAAATATTAAAATTTCACCCAAACAATCCTACCCTCCTCAAAGCAAGAAAAATGACAAAAAATCAAAGTAAAATCTTTAATGAAAATTACTTCAAATTAAAATGAACTTTCCCAAATTCAAAACATACCCAAAATACATAGAAGAATGAAAACTTCAGAAAAAAATTTTTTTTAATTGAGAATGATTCTTTACAGAATGTTTACAGTTCTGGAAATTAAAAAAAAATCTTCCCAGATATATGACCCCCTGGCAGCCTGTCTGCTCAACCAATCGAAATGCAATTTCAGATATTGTTGTTTGAAGGTACGTGCTCAAGATTATATGGATTAAAACAGCAATTACAGTGAGCTCTCACAGTTATGGTTACAGTGAAAAAAATTTCATAATTTTCAAATAGCAACATCCACTTTTTCCTGAGCAAATTAATCAGTGCATTGAAAAACCATCATTCTGTCATCAACCCTCACGGCATTAGATATTGTTGCATGCTTATGTGTTCGTAATAGATTGAATGTGCAAGTCCAATAAAAAGTTAATAAAATTCATTCTTATCACAAGAAATAAAACAAAATGCTGAAATTTTTCCTCAGAGATATTTGTATAATATCACACAATATAATTAGTAGTTATATTTTAAACTACTAAAAGATTAAATAGAACACAACTGAAAGTGCAGAGAAAGCTAATCCGTTCAACAAAATTTACTGCAGCTAAGTAAACAATTACTAATAAACAACTGAACTGAGATGTTTTTCTCCAGGTTTTTAATCATGCACTAGAATATTCTGGTAATTTTTATTTTCTCGAGGTTTCTGGAAAGCAAAAGAGAAAAATTATTGTTAAGCTAATACACAGTTATTCAATTTAAATATAAATGATATAGCTATTCATTAAATGTGCGTGCTCCTGTTATTTTTACTTCTTTGGCGTCGCTTTGTCTTAAAACTCATCTCGCCCTGCATTACACAGGAAATAAAACAATTTTAATTACAATTCTATCAAAAATAGCTAACTAAATACAAAATCCATAACAATATTATAGTTTGGATGTGAAATTCCTTTCCATACAAATACCAGGTAATTTTCTTTGATTTTGTTCAGATAATTTATTCATATTTCTGTTTCTAAGCAACATTCAATTCTGCTTGAGACTCACTGGGCCTCTATTTCACTCAAAATTTGTCCAAAGTGTTTTGTTGTTGCTCAGGCATTAAAATATTTCTATAATAAGGTGATTGTTATTGAAAATGCTTATACCATAGTTTGCTACTGTTTTATCAGGATGAAATCTTTCCATGAAAACTTTGCATCTTACTCTAAATTTCATGAATTTCATTTCACTTTCTAGCCTATGGTTTTGCCTAGACACATAGATAATAGATAATAATACATTTTAAAAAAAGAAATGTCCTGTGTGCAAAGTGCTACAATCTCTGCAACCCAATCTCCAATCTGACAATTATTTTTCTCCAGGTAAAATTCAAGGTTCTTTAAGCCATTTGCTAGCGAGATTTGTTAATGGGAGTTAAACAATGAAAAATATTAAAAAGATGTTTCCAGAAGTCCCTGAGTGTTAATTATGTGGCAGAGGATATCTGAAAAACTACCTTTGAAAATAATATTTTATTGACTTAAGTGTTTGTAACACATGACACCATTCGTCATCTGAAGCATATTTTGTTCAGATAATTTGTTCATGAAGTGTGAGACATTCAGGATCTGAGGTTCCAGTGTAATATAGTAGCAACAGCTTATAACTTAACACTTAAATACTTGAATGTTATAAATGATGCAGAAATTCAGTGAGAAATATCTAGTTTTAAAGCCCATGCTATTTCAATGATTCCAGACACTAAAGTAGCTACAAGCTTATCATTTTGTCAAGACAAACTTTCAAGCATGGCTATTCTGTCCATAGAGCATGAATTAAGTGATCAAGAAGATTTTAAAAAATTGCTGGTGATTTTGTTTCATTAAAAGCAATTAAAATGAGATTATTATAGGTGCTTGAAAAATTAATGTAATACTTTTTATATTAGTTACATTACCAGGAATAGGCAATACTTCATTTTGTAGATACATCAAGCATGACTAAATAAAGATCTTGTGCAAATTGCATGTATTTAGCTGCAAAATTATTCAAGTTACATAAATTTTTGTAAATTGTTTCTCGCCAATGTAAACTTCTTTCATTTTGCTGATTTATTGAGTGTTTACAATAAAATCTCAAGTATGAATGCATCTAATGGATGACTAATTTCCTTGCAATAATTAACAAATCTGAAACATTTATTTTTTCTGTTCACAGATTTCTTTATGATTTAGCTCAAATTCCTGAATATGCTGACCGTGTATCCTGCATTATGTTCCAAGCTGCTTTTACTGAAACGATCTCGTCAATAGAGAACAGGCTTAATAATCTTAAAATGACATGTGAGGTCAGTAATTTAAATTTATTTTAATGTTTTTATTTTTGATACAAATTGATTCTTCAAACTTTTTTGCTATTTGTTAGTTACTTATATGTTATATGAAGTATATATGTTATGAAAGTATAAGTAACCACAGAGGAAGCCTAAGCTGTTTCTATTCACTATTATATTTAAGTTTTAACACCTCTACTTTTTAGTGCAGTTGTATTTTAATTTTATTGTGTTTTATTTGCTAGTTACGATGTTATATGGGATAATATGACATGACAAACCTGTCGGATATATATTAACCTGAAACCTTTTTATTAGTTCAGCACATCATTTATTTACATTAAAGAAGAAGTTTTTGGATAGTATGAGAAATTTTTATATGTTTATACTGAGCAAATGTAATGAGTTTTGAAGTTGTTGAAAAAGAGTACTAAAGCCAGGAACCATAATAAAAAGATAGTTCTACCTAATTTCTCCACGTGAAATTTTTTTTATCCTAGCATTAAGGTATATTCCTAGGAATTTATTCCATAAGAAGAAACAATGATTTTGAAACAGTTTTTCATTATTATGAAACTTGAGAAATATTCACTTATAATAAACAATTTTTGAATGATGAATGTATTACAAATTGAAATGACAATGTGTACAGGGATTTTTTTATTTATATATATATATTCCAAATTGGAATATGAAGCTAAGTAAAGATTTTTCACTGCAATAGATCAGCTAAGAATGAAGATCCTTAAGTGGCTTATTTAAATTATTTATCATGTGACGTACATACAAATTAAGTTACTTTAAGTGGTATGTATTAAACGTAATATCACTATTACAGTTTGCTGCAGGTTGATCAATATTTTGGTATACTGATTGTGTTCTTTGTCTACCTGTCTTCAGTTCACTGAAGTTCTTTTATTTCTTTACATCTAATTGTATTCGTGTTCTTTGCTAAGCCACTACATAAATTTTTGCAACATTTAAAATTTGTGTGTGTGGCCATTACGTTTCTAGTTTTAGTGACTAGATGTGGTAGCCTTTTTAACAGTTAGGAAATACCATCATAAAATTCTTAAAAATTATCTCATCCCCCCTTTCCCCTTTAGTTAATGTATAAGTATAATGAACACTCATTACAGCAATTGTTCCATTACAGGGATTAATGCCATAAGTCCCCAACTGATGATAATAGATTAAATCTACTTTCATTGTACTATCCATTTTCTTTAGGATGCAAGGGTATATTGTGGATTTGACAATATCACTCTTCTAATATTCTTCAGTATGTTAGTTTGCATAGTATTACTGTACGCATTTGTAAAATGTTCTGTGAATGATATTTTTAATGATCCTCAACCAAAACTTTTAAATTTTCATCAATACATCCTATTAAGTCAAGTTGAAAAGGCTTGTTATTAATATAATATCTTCAGTAAGTATCCCAATTCTGACTCAGAATAATAAGTCTGGAACTTTCTTATTGTTTTTTTCTGCTAAAATATATGATCTGCACTCATTTGAACCTGTAGCTATTTATTTTTTTATGTACTATCTTAAATTGGTTAATGATATTGGAATGTGGAAAACGTTCAATTATATATTAAGATTTTTGTATACAAAAATACTAAAATAAAATTAATATGTAACATTAAAAATTGAGATTTAGTAAAGTATAGAAGATGAAAAATAAAATAAGCATTCTTGATGCTTCTGCATAGGAAAATCTGATAAAGATGATAAAGAAATAATGTGCAATTATTGCTGGCTTTGCAACAAAAGTGACTGAAAAACATTATCTGCATTGATACGACTATTAAACTTCTCATGGTTATCTAAATATAGCAAATATTTGTGCCCAAATTATATTTAAAATTCTAACATATTAAAGAGAAATAAAAAATTTGAACTGCTATTTCGTAATTAATAAAATTAGGAATTAAAGGTCAAATAAATATTTGAGCTTTTGATGTGTGTGTGTGATTATGACAAAGCCTCAAGGGCTATCTGCCTAAGGGGTGGGATGCCTTCTTGGAGGACTTTCCAAGGGAAACTGGCTCGTATACACATTACACATGGAGAAAACCGCGAAAATGCCCATGCAGCCAGCCCATGAGCTTTTGATGAAAAGTCATTTCAGAAATCTTCATAGGAAAACATCATCACCAGTAATGATTTGTTTAACTAAAAACAGGAAAGCATTCAAAAGCTATTTGCCTAAGAGGAAGGATACCTTCATGAAAGACTTTCTAAGGAAAACTGGTATTTGTACAGATGGGTAATGACCATGCACTTGGCCATCTACTTGGCCCTTTCACTGAAATTTGAGCTTAAGTCAAATTACTACAGTTTAGTGGTTTTGTGGCTTGGCCATTTGTGGGTTCACCATCAATAGCAAATCTAAATTCAAGGTTAGTTGATTGTCTTTTATTTTTAGGAGATTAATTTCCGGGATTTTAGAAAAATTGCCATGTGGAACAATGCTGAATAACGCTAGTGATACTAAATAACTTTAGCCATTTCACTGTCTTAGATATGTCATTTGTTTTTTGACTAACTTTTGGTCTCTGAATCCAAAAATAACCTCAGGTTTTATTTATCACTTCATCTTTTTAATCTACATGATACCTTCTCTTTGTCTCAAAGGTCATTCAAAGTATCTTTTTAAAGGAAAATAAATAGAAAACTTACCAAACATACTATTCACAAAGAACAGGTTTATTCATACAAAGGCTGCATATAGTTACTGCAAATTAAATTTTGTTCGTACAAATAGAAAATTTTTTTACCAAACAGTAGACATACATATTAAGGTAAATATTTTCACGTATAGCTTTTTCTAGAGTGTTTTATCTGTAGACATTTTCGTTTGATGCTCCAACATAGTCAGCTATCATATGTGCTTCCCATCTACCTTGGTACTCTGTCTCCATAAGCTTCAAATCTTGGTGGAATAACTCACCCTGTTCATCACTGATTGCATCAAGATTTGGGGGTAAATTTTCAAGACGACTATATAAAAAATGCAGTCTGATTCTCATGTTGCAACTAAGCATTTTGAAGCTTCCCAAAAGTTGCTGGACAATTTTGCTATAATTCTATGCCCATGTATGTCCAAGAAAGTTTTTGACAATGTTTTTGAATGCCAACCAACCATTCTTTTAAAGTTCTGCCATTGTTCTGATGAAATGTTCATCTTTAAAGAGCTGCCAAATTTGTGGACCTTCAAACACACTGGCTTTTATATTTGACTAAAAAATGCTAAAATGAGATACTTGAAACAGTCGCCTTCAGTTGGCAAAGCTTTATCAATTTGCTTCCTGAAACCCTGTTTCATATGTAGGGGTTGAAATATAATGTACTTCTTGTCAACAAATGACTAATATAGAATATTTGGATCATTAGGTTTTCAGCTCTGATCTTGACAACCAATTCGACTGCACCCAATGCATCTTTCAAGTTCTATTGTCCCATGTACACAAAAAAACAGGAATACTTGGTATATCTGCATTGCTGGCCAAGGAGGAAGTAGTCCATTTTAAGGTCAACACAGAGGATCCATTGGTACATGTGATATTGTAACAATAACTCTTTTTATGTCCTTCATATTTTTCACGCAAATAAACTGAATGGCCTAGTCGAACTGCACCGAATAAATTTCCATTGTGCAGAGGTACATACTTCAAACTCCTCTTTGAGCTGTCAGTGAACAATCACTATTGAGTTGTGTTATAGACTAAAATTACCATCTCTTTCATTAAACTATGTAGATTATGCCAATACACAAATCCATCATCACTTCAGAAATATTGCAGAAATGCTTTTTCTCTAGCCAGCCAGTAGGAAAGCAGTATATTAAATATATATAAATATTCCTAGAGTGTTCACATTAACATAAGGTGTAGAGAGAAAAAAAACTTGATATGGTAGAAGAAAACTAACTACAGTTTTGAAATCAGCATGCCTATTTAGCTCTAAAACAGCTCAAAAATCAAACTCAAGAGAAATTGTGTTACAAATTATTCCTCAGTGTAATAGTACACATGTAAGAAACTGCAACAAACAGGCAGAAGAGTGAGACTAGAATTTCATCCTTCATTACAATGCAGCAATCTTTGTGAATATTGTTTTGAATATAAATAAAAAATACAGTATTTGACCATCTTCTGTAGTCATCTAGCCTATTGTCATTTACCTTAGTTTCTTTATCAATTTAAGTATATTGGATACAGTAAAGGAGAACACAACAATTTCTTTAAGATGACTATTAAATGGTAATCTAAAGCATTGCTTTAATAAATAGAATACAGTTGTAAAGAAAAAAACTGTGTTTAAGAAAAACATAAAGACTCTAAAATTGAGCTTTAGCAAGAGGTTATATAATAGCTACCCCTCTTGTTTTGGCTTTGCAAAAGTGCTTGATACAACAATCACAGTCACATCATTTTAATTTTCAAGCATAATAAATTTAATTTTTTAGACCAAATTCTGCTAAATATTTACTGGAAACCAATAGATTTCTGACATAAAGTAGGATATATTTCTCAACAGTTATTGTCCATTTATTGTTAGTATAATGCAAATTGTTTGGGGATTAAATAAATGATTTATAAATTTAATAAATTTTAGCAAAGAAAGTAATTTAACATCCAATAAAGATTATCACTGAGAATTTCATCATCTAGAGTTTAAAAAAAATTATTTTAGTGAAAGATGTCAAGATTATTCTTATAATGGAATCTCATATCTTAATATGACTAATAAATGGAATTATTTATCAGAGAAATAGTATTACATTTTATGTGTATATATATGCAATCATTTTCTATCAGCTTTGTATAGCATTTCTTAAAATGTAATAGCTGCAAATTTTGTAAATTCAGCTGTATTTCTTTAGCAAATGGGGGAAGGCCTTTTTTTAAAGTTGGATTGAATATTTGGTAGATGTTAATGAGATGTTACGCTAAAAAAAAAATCTTTTTTCTTTTTAAATAAACATCTTTTTATATTTAAAATATTTCTCTTTGAATTTTCACTACATGTAAAGGAAATTGAATTTTATTTCTTTGATTATTTAATTGAAAGTATAGTTATCTTTGTAGTATTTTCATCTATTTTATTAGATAGTATTTTCATCCATTTTATTACTTGCAGTATTTAAGATTTATATTCATATACTTATTGTCATCAAAATTTTAGTTTCTCATGACAGATGCTGAAATACAAAAAGTTTTCGGAATTATTCTTGCTTTAGGAAATTATATGAATGGAGGTGAGATATCATTTCCTTATTTTGTTTGATATTTCATGACGTAATTAAATTGTCTTTTGTGGGGTAGCTTTTTCCCAAATTACTTTTTACTATTTGCTGTTTCGGTAATGATAAACTGGTACAGAATTATTTTATTTTTGTTTCTTCTTGTTAAGTCACATTTTCTTTTATGATAATCGTATAATTTTGTTTCGGAATTCATGTATCTTTTATAAATTTAAAACACATCTTTAAAAATACTAAGAATTCACATATCCAGTTATCTCAGACTTTTGCTTATTTGAAAATTTCAATTAAATTTCAGCCTTTAACACTAATTTGCTAATGCAGAAAATATTTCATATCTCTTTTGATTTTAATCTGCTTCTGTGAACTTCTTTAAGCACTTTCTATTTAAATTACTTATTTGTGAGGATAATACAAGGTGTTCATAAAAGAATGTCCCATTGGCAATGGTATATTATAACAGATTAATTTAGAAACAAACTAATATAGTTTTTCATACAAATGTTCAAATGTGCACATTTAGTTATATGGCACACGTCCAACCTATAGTCCAATTCTTCCCACAATTTGGTTAACAAATAATAGAAGCAATAGCCTCTTCAGTTCTGTGTCTCAACTCTGGCAAATCATTAGGTAATGGCGGAAACATAATTTATATAGCTATCATTTATAAAGCCCCAAGGGAAAAAATCACATGGCGTTAAAGTCAGATGAACATGTGAAAGCCAGCAAAAAAAAAAAACTATGTCGACTTAACCATTACATTTGTGTATTTACCATTATATTTGTATAAATTTTACTGATAGCTTTTCCCCCAATAACTGTTATTTTTACATAGTTTTATTTAATGTTTTTTCTCTGTTGTTTGGTTAGTATGTGTCAAATCTTGAAATTAATTATTGATCTTTTTATCAACCCAATTTTTTTTTTATTTTTATTTTTTTATTTTGTCCATGTATGTAAATCATATGACAGTGTAATGTTCCACAAGAAATCTTTTAGAAATTGCTGTAGATATTTTTTATTTAGTTTTAAATTTTTCTCACAATTTGTTGTTTAATAGTCAAACTAATCATCACAAAAACTGTGAACATTACACCATCAGATAGGTCAAAAACTCTTTCCTAAATAAAGTTTTTCAGCATTTTTAATCTAATTTCAGACTTTTTTCAAAATCTTTCATTAATAGCAGCTGCATGATTTTAATAATTTTCAGCATTTTAAATCTAATTTCAGATTTTGTTTTCAGAATCTTTCATTAATAGCAGCTGCATGATTTTAATACTTGATGAGATCAGATTTCTAAATCAGATGTAAATTTAAATGAATTAAATGTATCTTATGCTAAATAAGAATGAATATTTTTTCTGTGTTCATTGACAGTATTTTCTTTCTTTGTTATCTGCATTCTCTAAACCAGTGTTTCTCAAACATTTTTCTAGTGGGGACCACTTTCATAAATTAGAATGTTTCTCGGACCACCTCTTGTTCCCTTCATAACCAAATTTTTTAGCACTTATGCCTATCAGTATGCTTATATTTGAAAAAGCAATTCATTTTATGTTGATAATAATCAATTAAGTTAATAAAAGAAAAGTTAGACTTGTTTTTAATAACAAGGGTAGAATTTGAATAATCTTTATTTTATTAACTAAAAATTAAATGGTGATACTCAAAATAATGAGTTGTTTGATCCTGCTGATTCTAGCACAGCTGTTCCATGTTTGGATGTATGCTAGTAATGTTAAGTCTGAGACCCTTATATATATCATATAGATGTAGGGTCTTTGTTTTTATTTAAATTAGTGAGATAAGCCCTTTCTTGTTCTGGCATGTAGAAACTGATAATTTTAACATGTTCTATGCTTTCTTCCATACAATAAGCTGAAAATTCTTTCAATGTAAAGGCACTACCTCAATCTGAAATGATTCTGGCTGGATTCCCAAATACAGTCTGTTGTTGCCTCAATTTTGAAATAACTTCTTGCGTAGTTGGTGATTTCACTGGATAGAACCAAGTAAATTTCGTAAAAGCATTGACCACAGTTAAAATGTGTTGGTATCTCTTGTTCGTAGATGGAAGAGGTCCAATAAAGTCGACATGGTACGTACTCAAGGGAACGTTTTCTTTCGGTAGAGGATGAAGAAATCCTTCTGCTTTTCCTTGCTTCTTGTTGTACAGTATACATTCTTTACAGTTAGCAGTTACTCTTTCAACCTTGCATTTCAGTCTGGGAATATAGAGCTCTTGCTCTACAGCATTCACAGTTTTCTCTACAGCAAAGTAACCTTTTTTATGTACCTTCTGTATGATTTCATTCTGTAAGGACTCTGGCACTACTAGCAGATCTTACCATCTTCTAATTTGTACAAAATGCTATTTCTCAGGAAGAATCCATTTTCTTCACCTTTTTCTACTAAATTCTTGATCAATTTCACATGTTCATCTTCATTCTGTTGTTGTGCTAACTGAATCTTCTCAGTTACATCGGATGTGTATGATGTTAAAATTAAAGCATTTCTACTTAGAGCATCAGCATGTTTCATTTGGCTTCCTGAATTATGTACAATTTCGTAATCGAATTCTTCAATAAACATTGCCCATCTTGCAATCTTAGGAGTTAAATCTTTCTTATCTAAAGTTTTCTGAAAAATCACTACAATCAGTGACAATTTTGAATTTAGACCCTAACAAATGGTTTCTAAACTTCTTAAGAGCTTCTATAACTGCAAGGGCTTTTAATTCATAACTACAGAGTTTCTCTTGCTGCGGTGAAGTCTTCTTACTCATATACTGGATTGGGTGATAATTACCATCATCAGACAATTGGAGTAGTACTGCACCAAAGCCTTGACTACTAGCATCAGTATGAAGTTCTAATTGATATCCGTGCCTAAATATGTGTAGAAAAGGTGCTTGAGAGAGAATTTCTTTTAATCTGCAAAAAGCTTCCTGTTGTTCGGAATCGAACTTAAAACCAATACCTTTTCACTAAGAGGTTTAGCTATTTTAGCATAATGCGGAATGAATTTACGAAAATATCCCGTTAGTCCTAAAAAGCTTTGTAGTTGTTTACAGTTACGCGGTTGTGGAAAGTTTTGAACAGCAACAGTTTTGGAAGGTGATGGTCGAATAGTTCCGTTTTCAATTACATGTCCCAAAAATTCAATTTTTCGCTTTAAGAATTGGCACTTTTTGAAATTTATTTGTAATCCTGTATTCCGAAGCAGTTTTGAATACTCTTTCTAATTTCTCTAAACATTCAACTTCATCATTAGCCGGTACGACTATATCATCCATATAAATAATTAGTACACCTTCATTTAGCAAGTCACAAAATACTGAATAAATATACCTTTGAAAAACATTTGGACTAATACATAAACCAAAAGGAGCTTTAAGAAATTCATAAATACCATTATGTGTTACGAACGCGGTGTATTTTGTGCACTTTTCATCTATGTCTACATGGAAAAAGCCATTTTTCAAATCTAGTGTCGTGAAGACCTTTGATTGTTCTAAATCGATCAAGTATTTCTGGAATTAAAGGCAGTGGAAATTTGTCTTTAATAATCTTCTTATTTAATTTCCGATACAGTCTATGCACAATCTTTTAGAATTATCTCGCTTGCTACACAAAAAATAGGTGCCGAATAATTAGAATTGCTAGGCTTTATTATGCCCTCTTTCAACCATTCCTTAATTTGCTCGTCAACAATTTTTTGTTCCGCGAAAGACATGTATCTTCTATTTTGACAGACAGGAATTTCATCGCATAAATTTATTTGCATCTTGAAATCAGATTGCTTATTTTTCCGAGGCTGGTACGAATTAATTAATTTACACAGTCTTTCTTTATGTTCCACATTCGAAATATGCGATAAATCAATCTCGTTGACAGAAATAGCATTCACCAGATGTGAAAGGTAATTAAACTTCGAGCTACTTCCGCTTTCGGGACTTTTGTTTAGATTAACAGAGACGCCAAACGATTGCGAAAGATCATAAACATTCTTCAATGACACAGCAATATTCAAATTTCCCATAACGCAACGAACGTTAGCATTTCGAGATGACTCAGCAGTTATCAAGGTTACATTACTTTTATTCCGATGAGAAATTGTTTGAAGGCCATTCTCGGTAAAGGAGAAGGTTAACTGATTCATTACATCCAAACCTATTACGATTTGATTACATAATGATTTGACCACATAAATTTTCATATGAAGTGAAAAACCATCAATTAAAATATCAGAAATAAAAAAGCCAATGGGATACGTTTGCTTTGCCTCGATACCGAACAATGTGATATCGCTACAATTTAAACTTGGAGAACCAATCTGCTTCTGTAACTCTACACTGCATATTGTAACATCTGAACCAGTGTCAACAAGGCTATCAACTAAATGATTATTTATTTCTACAGTCATCATAATTCAATTATTATCAGAAATTCGAGCTAAAGAAGCTTGTTTCTCGGGGTTCTGGTTTTGACAGTCAGTCGATTTGTGCCCAAACTTTTTACAGTTAAAACATTTTATCCCATTTGATTTGTTAATACATTGAGAAGATTTATGCCCAAATTCCTCACGTCTAAAACATTTGAGTTTGTTTACGTTAGATTGATTTCGGTTTGATGACGCAAGCTTACTTCTATCTTTAACTTGAGTGTCTACTTTAAGTTTCGTATTTTTACACTTATCATTGTCCATTCTCATTTTATCATAAATTTTTAAGCCTTTGTTTAAATTCAGATATTGTTTTGCAACCATATAGTATAGTTTTCCTAACCACAGAATCGGGAATACCATCAATAACATATTTAATTAATGAAGCATCTTCAATGTTACCTCGCGAACACATTTCTTTCATTTTCAAAAAATACTCATCTAAAGATTCATTAGGCATTAATTTACGCTTACATAACATTTCATGCAATTCAGCAGAATTAAAAGCTTTACCATATTCAGATTTCAAAAGCTTTTTAACTTACACCAGTCATTAACTTTAGGTTCACTCTGAATAAATAGTTTCGCTTTACCTTTTAATGATCTTTTAGCAAAAACTAATTTATGCAAATCACTCAATTTCAAAGAATTTATAACATCTTCAAATTCATCAATCCATTTATCAACATTTTCATATGCATTACCAGAAAAAGGATTAACAATACTTTCAATATCAGAAAAACTAAGATGAGGTTTAAAATGATCTTGAATTGGAAGCTGCATACTGTTATTTACTTGAGACTCATTAAAACCAGGATTGTCTCTTTGATTATCATCAAGCATTACTTCAGAAATTTTATTAATAGTTTCATCTTCAATATCACTATTTTCTTCATGCAAAATATTTTCAAATAATACAGATAAATCACATAGGAAAGAGACAATTCGGGTTACGACTTCCGTTTTTGAACCTTCTGAATTTATGCACAGTACATTGCAAACTTTAATTAACTCATTCAAAGTAAAACTATTCTGCACTGTATCTATTTTCTTATTAAATTCTTCAGAATCTGGTTTAAATGTAAAGCCAGAAAATTCACGTAATCTTTTCCGGTTATTTCGATCTCCATCAGTATTAAAAATAAGCTTATGCAAACTTTTGATTTCAGAACTTTTACTGTTCTTTAAAGCTGCTTCCAATTCTGGAATTTCTACTAACTTCATATTGGAAAGAAAGTTTTTTACTCACCCGACAGATGATCATCTTCAATTGGTAATCCAAACGCTTAAACAGTAATCTAATAAATCCAACAACTTGTAAGAACAGTCCACTAATTTCACAGTCAGTCAATACTGTTCAGAATACTATTCGCACGCTTTCGATTTGGAGTTCGTTGAGTTCGCGCCACATTTGGTCGCCAAGATTTGTAGAGTTTACTTTCAAAACACACACGATAGAGCACGTCTATTGCATTATTAAATGCTTTATTTTACTAATAAGAAATAGATAAAAGTAATAAAAGGTAAGTTAAGTAAAAATTAATATTGCAGGTGATGTCATGATAGTTATACTCAGTCCACACAGGATTCATGTAATGATGAACATTTCTCACACACTCGTAACATCCACAGCTAGCTTTAGGTAATATGATCAGTTTGGCTACAAAGAACTTAAACATCGAAGAAAACCATCTGTTTCCACCAACTCTTGGAGGATTTACAAGCCGTCTGCTTGCCTTCGCTCTTCTCCACGTCTGGACGCTATCTGTCGTTGTCTCGACTGCTGTGCACTGTGCTAAGCTGGGATTGCATCACCTCACTAGGTTTCTAAGTCAGTATTGGTCATCGATGATTTTCACATATATATAATGTTCTAAAGGTTTGCAGTGTCATAGTACATTGATAGAATTTAGCAAAGAGCTTACTAGAGAAGATGAAACCAATCACTTTTTAGATATAGCCGAGAAAAACTGCTGCATAGATCTGACTGGAGCAAAAATCACAGTTTGCTTGACTGTGAAAACATTATTTTTATTTTGAACAGGAAAAATTCTTCATCGATGCATTTTTGCTTAAACTGGTACAACGTTAGGGATGCTAAACATGCCCCACAATTTTTCTACACACAATTTGTATTTTAGATATGAAGAGGAGTTAAATGAACAGACATGACTTTCCTTGGCAGAGCAAACAGGCGAAAAAGTGATACATAATAACTGCAGTCATATTTATGAGCATGAAAAATCTTTGTTTTAATCCTGACCAGCAATTGGTCAGGATTAAAACAAAAGATTTCACCATGCAGAGAAATTGCAGGGAAAAAATGATATTACATGCTGCAAAATAGTGAAAAGTATATCCTTGAAGCAGGGATGTGTTAAATTAAAATTTATGAATTTAAAGGTCTGTTTCCAATTGGTTGCAATTAAGTTTAATAATTTTGTTTCATATTTAATATTTTACACACACACATATATATATACATATGTCATAATAAGAGCACAAAGAAAAAGACGGAGCAGTGTCGATCTGTGCTTAGATTCATATTGAAGAATTTTGATTGCGTAGTATTTAAAGAACTTGGCAGTCGAGGCAGTTTTAATTCCATTTTTATTTCCAATTGATATTTGTGGCCACAATCACTTGGCACTCTAGTCATGCCTTTCCACAGAAGATTTACATTTTTGATATTGTTGGGATAGACAGCAAGCCAGCGAAATTACATCTTAGCACAGTAGTGAGCAAAAGCTGAAGTACGTAGTTATGAAAGATGGAAGCACGCGAAGAGAAAAGTTTTAAGAAAAGTTTGGTTTACAATTACAATTCAGTGATTGGTTGTCAAGAGGCATCTGGTATTAACGGTTACGTAAGATCACATGATTAATCTGAATGACACAATGCAGATAAGTTATTACGATTTTTGAATAGAGAGGAAGAATTAATGTTTATAGTTTAATCTATAATTTTGATTCATACATTTTTATCTTACATATATATGTATATTCTCATTTATGTATGCAAATATTACAGGCAACAGAAACAGAGGCCAAGCTGATGGCTTTGGACTAGAAATATTACCAAAGCTGAAAGATGTAAAAAGCAAGGTTAGTTAAATTTTTTTTACCTATGTCAAAACCTCTAGTTTGCTTGTTTATCTCTTTAAAATCTGTAATTTTTCTTTTATTTCAGGATAGCTCTCTCACCCTTCTTCATTACATCGTGAGGAACTACATAAAATTGTACCTGAAAGTAAATATTTTTCTCATATAACATTTCTTAATATTATATGATATTATTAGTTTGTAATATATCTTAATATTAAGCTAGATATATTTGTGAATATACATTTAAAGGCAATGGTATGACTGCATATCAAAACCTCACTTAATGCAGCTCATGAATGGGATATATTGACACATTTTAAATCACAGTGCATCATTATTTGAGGTCTTAAGTCCAAAAATTTTAATTGTGCTGAGGACTGATAGCTTTCTTCGTTTATTTAGCTGATTATTCAACAAGAAAACATTAAAATTACTGATTTTTTTCCCTTTTTATGTGTCATTGCTGTATTTCTTTGGAAATTGACTGGTCCAGAGATGCAATTAAAGCTAAAAATTAACATATGGAAGTATATTTCGATTAGAAAAGACAAATTGTGGGAAAAATTTCCACTCTAAAATTTAAAAACAGTCATCTTATTTGTTGTCAACTGGAATATCAAAAGTCTAAATTTAAAATTAAGATTTCAAAAGAAAATGCAGTTATAAATGCTGATGCATTTCATCCAAATTATGAAATCCCTCTGAGCATCAAAGCTGGCAGAGCTGTGGCCAATCATTCCAGCAGAAGTTGAAATGAACATATCATTCTTTGTTTAGTTAGGTAATAAGCAGATATAAATTTTCGTTTGAAGCAGAGTTCATGTACTATTTTCTCTCCATTCTTTCTGTTTCTTGCACTTGTACTTTCAAAAGAATATATCCAAAAGTTCTAATTGTGTCTTTATTTAACACATAATACAAAAGTTAAAGCAATGGTTTTATGTATCTTAGCCCATGCTAATTACATTCTGGGAACTAATCCTCATAATATGACTGCTTTTGAGAGAACAGAAAAGAGGAATGAAATAGAATTCACTAATTATTAAGTGCATCCTATGCTGCCATTTATTGAAAAAAAATTAAAAGTTTAAAATGTGCACTACTTACATTGGAAGCACGTTAAATTTCATACTGGAATTAATTTATCACAAGAAATTAATGTTGTGTTCGAGGACTTTATAGTCTTTCTTAAATATTGCCATCCACTGTATGACTGTATTTTATAATGCTAGAATAATATTTATTACTAGACATATTAAATAGGCATCTTGGTAGCTATCAGTAGTGTGATGGAAAATTTTCTTGCTTATTCACAACTGCAAATATTCATAAATCATTCATTAAAAATGTTATGTAAACTCTGTAATTCATAATTCCTTCTTCTTTGTGTATGTTATTTTTTATATGAGTTTTGAATGTAATTTGTATGAGCTACTTCTGTGCATTTTAGACATTAAATAATTACTTTTCAGGATTGTTCTTTAGATAAATGTAAATTACCAGTTCCTGAGCCTAGTGATGCTGAACGAGCTAGTTTAGTAAATTTTGATGACATTCAAAATGATCTAAAAAAATTATATTCTCAAATTAAAAGTAAGTTGCATTAATTCACATTTTGTAATTTTAATTTTTTCATGTATATTATCAAATTTAGTATACTATAATAATCAATATTTCTGTCTTTTGAAGGCTGTGAAACAAAAGTTGAAAAAGTTTTGAATTCATCTGATGAAGAGCATCAACAACCTTTTAAAGATAAAATGGGTACTTTTTTAAAGAAAGGTAAAGATGATTCAAAATTTTTTCTAAAATATTATATTCACTAGAAAAAAATGTTTTTTAGAATTAAATGAATCTAACAAAACATAGATAATTTATATGTAAAAATGTACAAATTAAAAAGCTTTATAGGCATAATTGCTTTCTAATGTACAAATTAAAAAGCTTTATAGGCATAATTGCTTTCTAGTGGAGTGCTAGCTACTCCCATTTAATTTCATTATAACCATTTAGAAAAAAATTAATGCATTATCCAATTTACCTTTAACACTTTGAATATCTGTATAAATTAAGCATATTTTCTGTGAGTTCGCAAATCAGTTTTCATTGTAGGTCAATCGATCAGTGACTAGTCAGCGAATTTGTTCAACATTGTTGTTCAATCTACATTCAAATCTTTGTAAAAGGGTGGCTGCAGAGAGTTTTCATGGTTTTCCAAATGTGTAACATAAATAGGAGCTAGTTTTCCTTAAAAAGTTCCCTAAACAAAAGCATCTTTTCTCTTAGGCAGTAAACCTCATCTGTTTTGTCATAATATAAATAATCATAGTTTTTGTGATTGATGCTAAACTCAGACCATAAACTGATATTATAGCTCACTGGATCAAACAATATTAGCTATTTTTCATCTTAAAAAAAAATGTAACATGGATTAAAATGATTTGTTAATTTATGTGGAGATATAAAACCTTCGTATTAATGAAAAGATGACTTTTTCTTTTTTAAAAAACAGCAATATTGGATTCATTTTCTTTTTTAAATTAGTAATTCAAATAAAGTATCAGTGCTTCTGAATATAAATGGCATTCATTTCATAATACATAATATCCAGTAAAGCAACAGGTATGTAGGTGAAGAGTCAGATGTCTGCCGCCCCTCTTAAGAGAACTTTGGCCTGCAGTATCTTTTGAGTGCCTCTTTGCCATGCAGACACTATACACTTACAAACAGCCATGCCTTCTCCAGGATTCAAACATGGGCCCTTTGATATAGTTGTCAGCATCACTAATCACTATCCCATCTGAATGATGCAGTTAAGTAACAGTCCAATTTAAGTCATATTTTAAGAAAGTCTTATACTTTATGTTGTAAATCACAGGTGGCCAGTACTTCTGTATGTATGATCAACTTTTTTTTAAATGTGTTATGATCTGGCTACTAAAATCTTAACATTTAACACATTAAATGTGGTATAACTAATAAGTAATACTGGGGGTGGGAGTATTAAACCAACATGATATTTTATGAGTAATATTTATTAATTAAAAAGTAGCTACAGAAGAAGTACAGGTTATTTTAATATCTTCTCATTAATGGAAAGTCTGGATCTACATTTTCTAATCATTGTATGTTTTCTATACTGAGTATTCTCCCACCATAGTATTGTGTATCATTTTAATGTGATGTCTACATACCAAATGTTCATAATTTGTCAAGTATCCGAAGGTAGTGTTAAATCGTCGGTGTGGAAATCTGTAAGGAAGGAATTTTATTTAGTCTTTGTGGACTTTAAATATGAAAAAGGCAATTGACATAAGTATGCAGATCCAAAACAAAAGTAGATAAATTTGCTGCATTTGGTGATGCCTGGATACTTTTCTCGATTGACATATTTAAAAAAAATTTTCTCAAGCTTGTAAGTTATAATATTGTTTTCTAATGTGTTACCTCCCCCCCCCCAATATTCAATGCATCAGAAATTTTTGCAGCAATATGTTTTACATTTAAATGTGTTTTAAATGAAAAAGACAGACACTGTGCAGTACCTTTTGAAAAATCTGAAATCTGACTTCTTCACAAAGTCTTCAATCACTTTTTTTATTTCTGCAACATACAGAAATTGATTGTAGACATCCAGAATTATTATTACATACCAACGTAAAGTGAATAAGGAGAACTAAATATCATTATGAATATCAATATCATAGTTGCAATTTTGGTGTCTTTATGGGTGATCAGACATATTTGGAAAGTGATTCAAATTTTATTGAGCATCTTCTATTTATTCTGCTGTTTTTCATATTCTATTATTTTGTTTTGTATCTATGAATGCTAATGATAATTCCAATTTTTGTCTTGGTTTTTGCTTGCAATTTTAAAATTAAATCACTTCATTTCAGTATAAAATATGTTAAAAGAATTAAATCACTGAGCCAAGTTTCATGATTTAAATGTTCGCATTTCTGATCTTGCTCATTGAGAAAATCTTTATCTCAGTTAATAAATCATGAAATCGTTGACAAAATTTAATTCTATTTGTGCACCTTATATTGGTATGTAATGATAATTCTGGCTGTCCATCATTAAGTTGCTGCTGGAAAAGACAACATTTAAGGGAACTTCCTTGAAATTATATAACCAGTTTTAATAACTATGTCCATTATTTCTTTTTATTTATCCTCTATTGACTAACACTGTAGTGATATCTAAAAAAAACTTGTGAATTTTTCATGGTTTTTATAAGTTAGAAATTTATTTATGTGGCCAATCTTTGCTTTTCCTCCACCTATTGCGGTTAAAACTAATTTAAAAATGGGTACTTTTAAATTAGTGAAGAAAGTTTTAAAAATGTTAAATATGTCTACACCTCTAGACCTTTATTTCAAAGAAATCATAGTAAAAAATTCTTTAGATGTATAATCCCTTAATATCGTACAAATAAAAATTAGCAATTGTGCTCTTGCTACTTTATAAGGTATTTCTCCCGCCTTCGTGGTGTAGTGGTTTGCACACTGGGCCAGTATTCCAGAGGTCCGCGGTTCGATTCTCAGTAAAGGCGTTGCATATTTTTCATGATTTCTGCTTCCAAAAAGTAACTTAATGTCTCTACAACTTCAATTCATTGAATAAAAAAAAGGAAACTATAACATCTGTTAATCTCATTATGTAACCATTATATTATCATGTTCTGTTGCATTTTCACTAATTTTCTCAATTCATCGCTTCACAGTACTTTGAGACAATTGTTGATTTTTGATTGAAGCAATAATTAAAAGCTTATTCTTAAAATCATTAAAAAATGGATTTTTTAGTTTCAAGAAGATTCCTTTTAATAATTCTTTGGCAGAAAATGGAGTACTTTCTTTTAATTATATAGCCTCCATTTTGTAGGTACCAAGAATATTGATAAATCTCCTTCTCAAACATCATCAAGTGGCCAATAATCCTAATCACAACCATTTTTAGTTTGCTGATGATGAGATGAGCTCTGAGTAAACGATGTGTTATTGTATTTTCTTTTCTTCATATCAGTGTAAACAAATTTTGATCACTCATAATTTTCTTATCATAAGAAAGGCTCTCAATATTCCACATGAAAATGTATTTTCTTTAAAAAAGAGTTTGATTTACCAAGAAGTGAGAAAGATGCTACATCTCTTTTCGAGAAAGATTTATTTTATGTTGCATTTGAATATGCAAAGATGACCATTATATAAAACAACAAATTAGTGAAAGCATTTGGAGGTACAAGAGAAAAATTATAAGTGAAAGAAAACAATACATTTTGACAACTGGTTCAGTGGCTTCAGAATGTTGTTTATAAGAATGCAGTTACTATTTATGTACGGTTGGACAGAAGTACTAATGTCAGTTAAGCTGTGGGAGAAGCAACACAGCCTTTACAAAAGTACTTCTATTGACTGAAGGGTTTCTGAGAGAGGTGTATTTTCTGTGTCTAGTCCAACATCCTAATAAGTGAATATATGTCTCTGAAGAAACTGTGTACATAAAAGAAAATCTGTTTTTATGGGAAGAAAAAGAAAGTTGGCAGCATTCTGCCACAGTACTGGATATTTGACCTATTATGCCAAGAAACTAGTGAATTTTTACTCAAGTTCTGAATAGAAAGGCAATTGAAAAATGAAATGTTTGCTTATTGAAATTGTCTGCTATTCGCTGTGATTGATGTGGGGTCATTTCTATAATAAATTACCATGAATGTGACACATTGTTTTTGAAAAAAAGAAATGTGACACAGTGTATACTGAGCATGTGTGAAAATATTCATATTTAATATATATCATTTATAGGGGTTAAAAACAATGAATCAAAATCAGCTCATGTGCAGCAAATGTGTGTTGATATTGTATTGTACTGGCTGGTCAAAAAGATATGTATATTAATTATAAATTTTTGTTAACTATGTAATTATATTTAACAGAAACCTTTAAACCCCTATGGAAGTCCCATTTCATGTCCATGATTTTTCGCCCAAAATTTCCTTCCCACATTGATTGGTAAAAATTCAGCCTCCCTCTACCTTTTGTTCTAAGCACTTCTAACAGCATGCCCTAGACTTGTTCAAAAATGCTGTTTCTAGTCCTCCGTTCCCTCAATGGAGGAGGTCATCCCTCCTATAGCATTAATTTCTCATTCTGAAGATTGCTGTGCAGTTTTCTATGGGTCAAGAGACTCTCTGCTTGAATTTTTTCTACAAATTGTTTGCACAAAATATTTTACATAACAAAATATTTACATAATTAATAATATTTTATATTGTATTATTATGCATTTGTTTGTTATTTAACTCACAAAGCATGTGTAATATTCAAAGTTATTTGATAATTACCTATTTATTTAAACCCATTTTATGACTTTACAAAATAAATTAGGATTATACAATGTTTGTTTAACTCATTTATTAACAGTTTATATATTATAATAATTAATACTTTTAAAATGTCAAAGATGCAATGTTTTTATTGAAGTGAAAATTCAAAGAGATTCTGCAGTTTAGACGATATTCTTGGAGACTAGCTGCTTTGAAAGTATCTTTCGGATTCATTTTCTATTTCAGAATATATTATGATTTCATTATAACTATTTTTATAACTATTCTTTTCTTTTTTTCTTTTTTTTTTTTTTTTTTTTAAAAAAAAGCTTATGCTGAACATAAAGAACAAGAAGAGAATGTAGATGAATGCAAAGCAAAGTAAGCCAAGTGAATTTTTCTTCTTATCCTCTTATCAACTGTTTTTTTCCTAACATGCATTTGTACAATATTATTTTAATGCAGTGTGATTTAGGTAGTATTTATCTCATGGGTCAACTAGAAACATTGGGTTTTCACTTTTAAAACTTGGTTGATGACTTTAGTTAACGGCCAAAGTCACACTATTTAGTTGTTGTTATACTGAATTATTAGTTCAAAATCAATACGTTATCTCTTTCCCTTAGTATTGTTAATATCCACAATAAATAAAGCCATGTATTTTCTAGAAAAAAAATCAGCTTTTTATGAAAATTTTTCTTTTTCTTTTTTATTGTATGCAGTATAAATTCCAAAACGGAGACATCCAATACCCAAAATGATCTCCGGATTTCCAAAATTCAACAACACCTTTTTTTTTTTTTTTTTTTTGTATGCTTTACACAATTTTAAATCCAAATAATTTCACTTCGACACTGAATAAAATACCTTCATATTAAATAAACTATTATTTATTAGCATAAATTTCTATGATCTAAATAACATGGTTCTCGCCGTTTTGCATAGCACACATTTCAAAGCGAAACATTCTACATCAAAACATCATTTTACACTTAATTGTCCTGATGCCAACCAGGGAATCATAATTTATTATTTTTTGCTTTCATCACCCCATGACTATCAGCACATGGCAATTTAAGAAATGACTCTCACAGAGATGTCTGAACTTTTTTTTAATATTAGTAATTGAATACCAAAGCGTTTGATGACCTTTTATTTGCTTAGCAATGGTTACAGACTTCGGCTAACTGCACTGTGAAGTGGTGTATGTTCATAACGGGAATTTTGACAGAAGTTTCTTTTCTTATACAAGAAAATAGGTTTTGTAAATGATACTCATAGGTGAAAAGATTACATTTAGTGCTATTTGAATTGAAAATAACTCATTTATTATTCAGACAAGCTCCAGAGCAGCACCAGAATTTATTTGGCAAAATTATTAGAATTTAGAAAAGCACCAAGCAACAAAATTAAGGAATGGAAAATTCTTTAGAATTTAGAGAAGGTACTCAAAACTTTCAGAATTTAGGCTGCAGAGACTGCACCAGGCTGCAAATTGTCTATATGATCAATAATTTGGCTCTGTAGACAGCAATTATAAGACTTCAGTAGTGGAGCTTTGTAACTGAATAAGGAATTATGTCTATCTATAAAATTAAAGAGAAAATATAATGAAAAGAAAATGAAGTAACTTAAACCAATTTACATTGAAAGAAATGTTTTTTAAAGCAAACAAAAATATTAAGCTTCTTTTGTAAATTTTGATTCCATTAAGGCCATAAATGCTTTATTATTTCATAAACTACTGTTGCATATTTTTAATTTTATGATTTCTATATGTCATCTTACTGCATTTGAACTGATGATCTAATATTCGGAAGAATCCAGAATCACTGATGTTCTGGTGAGCCTGGTCCTTGACTTTGTATTATATTTTATTATAAGCACAGTACAGGAAGAAATCTTATTTTAATGAATTGTTAATGATCTGTAATTATCTTTTTCCCTGTATCTCAGGTTCAATGAAACAATGGAGTTCTTCAGCTGGAAAGCTAAATCTCCAAATTCATCAGAATGGCCTCAAGAATTTTTCAGCTATTGGAAACCATTTTGTAATGATTTTAAGGATATTTGGAAAAAGGAAATCCACAGAAAAGCTAAAGAAGAGTAAGTATTAGTCTGCATGTTATCTTAGTGCAAGAATAAGCTCATTTTGTAAAATTCATTATATAATTGTTTTTGCAATACATATTAACCCCTAAACAATCAGATAATTTTCAAGAAAACGGTCATAAAAGTGCCTATTTTTTATTGAAGAAAATTGTATAGAAATAAATGTATGTACAATATATGCATTCATTTTCAATTTCTGGATTTTTTTTAGCTTGAATTTTTTTTTAATATAATTTTTTAGGAAAAGCCAACATCCAGGTTTATTTTGACTGAATGTTGGTTTTCCAGTAAGCCAGGAAAATTTCAGAAATATGTGTTTTAAATATTAAAAGAGAATTTTATTAAACTTCTGCATAATATAAACAAAGCTTAGTAATTTTTTCTTGTGTGATAAATTTCAAAGCAGGAGATGCAAAGGCCAATGTCACAATCTGGACAGTAGTTCCGAATTTCCTTCCTACATCCTGTATTTCCTTCCTTTGTTTTCACCTCTTCTGGAACCAACAAACTTTGCATTCTCTTGGTGGTTGCCATTTCTTATCAGTTAGGGGTATCTGTCTAATAAAATTTCTTTCAATCAAACGGTTTGGATTATCCTCCAAGCTAGGCTAGCCTCTTTTTGAAATGGTGTCTGATGATTGACACATTTCAATAAGTTCATCTACTAAAGATAAATGGAACATCAAATGGGATTTTTTCCACCCATTTTTCTGTAAATACAATACGAGTTCAAAATAGTTTGGTCTAACAAATGAAAAAATATTTTCTTATCCAAGCAATAGAGTAATCTCCAAGATACTGGTCTACAATATCTACTGCTCTCATATTTTTATTGTAATCTGTGAAAATTGTAGGTTTTTAGACAACTTTTTTATGACACTGTACATCTACCATGTCATTTGTGTGAACTGTAGATAGCATGGTAACATCTTTCTTATCTTTCCACTTCATGGCAAGAACTTTACCTCACCAAAAAGTAACATTTTCAGCTTTTGCGATTCTCTTTTTTACTGATTCCAGAGGCATTTCTTTTCAGCTTAGTTTTGCAATTCCATAAGTGTTTGTTTGAAGTTTTAAAAGCATGTCTGCCAATTCTGGTGAGGTATAAAATTTGTCTGTTATCAGACAATATCCTTGTTTTAGCAGAGACTTGATAAGTGACATCACAACTTGATTGGGGCAGATCTTTATATTTTGCATCAAAAACTGTACCTTTTCCAGTATATAAGATTTGTGACCATATGTACCATGAACTTGATTCACATAACAAATACGAACTCTCCACCCCGGAAAAATTACGGGCATGAGAAATAGAGGGCGAAACCTCACCCCGTCATTTTGATGGGAGTGAGAAGGAAGGGGTTAAATATACTTTGAATTCTGATTTGACTGTCATGCAGTAAAACAATGTATAATTAAGGTTTTTACTGCATGAAATTTTGAAACAGTGGAAACCTTGAAATCTGTACAGCCACACAGATATCAAAAGGGAAATTTAGACAACTTTGGTAGTTTTCTCCTCTTCATCTCGTACTGTAGCAAGCTATCCTATTGCATTCTATTAATTATAGGTTTCAAATAAATATTCTGCCAAAATTTACTAAATTTATATAGCTGAAGATTCACTCAGTCCTTTTTGAGTGTAGTAAGCAGCAGAGTCTTTCAGTAATTACAGGTTCTCAAAAAAAAAAAAAAAAAGTGTCTTTAAAGGACTTGCTCATTAGGCTAAACTAAAATCTAAAACCACTCATTAACTTAGTTTGAAATAAACATGTATTTTGAATCTCAGTTTGAAGAATAAGTTAACAAATTTAAATGCAGCCCATAGAGTTATACCACCATAGATTTTTATGGAATAGCATTGCAGTGAAACTCCAAATATTCCTTTCCTATAGTTATTAGACCCTTTCTGTATATTTAGTCCATATATCCTTAAAAATAGTACACATCCATCATAGTTAATTTTTTTATCATTAATTATTCGAACTTAAATTCCAGAAATATTCCTGACATCATAAAGTTAATTCTTCTAAATTATTTATTTGTATGAGTGTAGAACAAATTGGGATTATTATGCATTCAAATTGTTAATTCATCTTCATGAACTTGTCCCTTATTTGCTACAAGCCTTGTGGGAAGTCTTCAGTTTATGATATTGTTTCAATTTAATGAGTTACATACATCTCTTAATTCAAGCATGTTTCTCCATTTTATGTATTTAGTCTAATAAGTACTTCTTAATTTTGAGCATCAACTTAAAGTTGTAATGTATGTGATGCATTTTTATTTATTGAAAATAGCATATTATATATAATAATTTTATTTAGTTCTAAATATAATTGATAAAATTTCCTGGATATTAGCTTCTGTCATTTCCTTGCCAGGATTATAGGAATTTAAAAATTATATTTTGATTTGAGCAGAATCATAGAGCTTGAATTGTTCAAATTGGTTGCTCCAATGATTATTAATTAATATATATTTCTTTATTATTATTTAGTTGTCAAAGTTCTTGCAGTTATTATGCTGTAGGTTATAATATACAATCTTTCATTTTTTAGACTTGAAATTGCAAGGAAAAAGCTTCAAGAAAAACAAGAAGAAAGACGAGCTAATATAGTGAAAGTGAAAGAAAAACCATTTGGCTTAGTAAGTTATGCATTCTCATTTGTTAGTTTAGACTTATTTTTTACTTTTTGTTTGATTTACATGGTATTCATGTTTAAAATTTTTTAATTTTAATATCAATTTTCAATAACATTTTCATTTCTAATAACTAATAAGAAGTTTTTGTCTTGCATAAATGCTGCTTGCTGAATTTAAAATTAATGTAACTTTGATTTCTGTAACTATTTGCATTATGAAAACTAGCTACTCAGATAACTGACTTTTGATTTGAGATTATTGTTTAAAGAGCATTTCCTACAGGCTGCGTTCATTTTCTTGTAAAAATCAAAAAGACACAGAATTTAGTTTACTGATTTTTTTTAAAAAGCTTTCATCTTAGTTCATATAAAGAATTTATGAGTTTAAAGTTTGCATATGGCCTTTTCTATTTTGTTGCAAATAAAAGTCTATTTTGCCTTCCCTCTCATATTCAAAATGTATAATTTAATAATAAATTTCATAAAGGCCGTAAATAAACTTTATTAGTTCTCTGTTTTACACATATTCTATTTATCTAAATTAGTCTGAAATTATGCCTCAATTCTTTATATGGCATATGGATTTCCCCAAGCCTTTTTTTATACTGTTGGAATACAAATGAACAATTTATTGAATTGATAGGGGTAATCAATGAGCAGGGTGCAGAAGAATTAACAATGCAACTTAAAATAATAAAGACCATTCCAAAATTTGTTTTAAAAATATATTTTTTCTTCTTTTTTTAAGAAATATTTTGTTCTTAAAATAGTCTTTTAAGGTAATAAATATTCTGAATATCTCAAGGTGATATTTCCATCTGTAATACCATAATAGAATAATTTGTCAATTCGTAGATGTAGGCCTTGGAACTGCAGTGACAAATGAATAAATCAATCTGACTCATTTTCTGTTATGACCAAATTAAAATTCTTACTCAAAATGGGTAGCATGTGTATAAGACTAATGCTAGAACTGTTATTCTATGTGGTTAGAAACCTTTTTTGTAAGATTATGAACTCTGGCATCCTCGTAATGTCATCCTGCACCAACTGTGCATCTCTTGCAGTGTTGATATAAGGAATGTTTAACTATGGGCTGACAATTCCACTGGTGTCCAAAATTAAGGTTGCAAACATAGAACATATGATATCTGAAAAAATAATTGATGTATAGTAATGAAATATTTGACCATTATTAGGAGACATCCAATTGTGAATAGTGGGCAAATGTTTTGAGATATGCAAATTAAACTAGAAAGGGTCTAATGAGAAGTATGGCCAACTTACATAGCTTTACATCTCTCATAACAGGCCCTTATACCATTACTAATGGCCAAAAAAAACAACAAAAAAAAAAAAAAAAAAAAATCTCGGTCTCCTTTGAAACATTTACTGCATTGAGAGTCATGGGAGGATGTTGACTACAGTAGCTGTACCTAAAGCTTCTCAGCATGTTGTATAGGTCTTAGGTCTGGTGACTTTGGTGGCCATATCATAAAATCAATCACCTCTTTCTTCATAAAATTAAAATGTTTTTCAGTAACTTCCAAGAAAAGCCTCACATTTTGCCAATGCATATTCAGCCACCCAACCAGTATAGTGGCTAGGATCGCTGACTGCTGTGCCGTAGGAACCAGGTTCAAATCCTGGAGATGGCATGGATGTTTGTAAATGTGTAGTAGCCGTGCAGCATAGGGGCACTCTAAATATGTGATGAGCCGAAAGTCCTCTCAAAAGGTTGCTGGAAGGGGAAGAGGAATTGGAGATTGTCGGACCCTGGTGGCGTAGCAGAGCTAAATCGCACTGTTATCTGTAAGGCTGTTGCCAACGGCAGGCATAAACTCGCGCTACTTGCCATAAGCAATTTCGTGGGCTTGGGCTGACTATAGGTTAAAGAAGTGAGCATTAGCAATAACAACTAATCTTTCTAAACTATTGTCTTGTGTATTTTCTTCAACTTTAGTCTAAATCCTTTGAATTTATATGCACTGAAAGTAACCTCTATCATTTCATTCGCTAATTCAGGATATCATTCATATTCTTTCTTCAATATCTTTAATTTATCAAGAGAAATCTAAATTTAGCAATTTAACTCCAGATCATACCTTGTAAAAAATCTTGTTCATCTTAATGAATTCAGTGAAATAACCAAAACTGTGCTGTGCAGTAGCTGGTTTGATGCTTTGCTGAACCTATTTGCGAAAATTTACAGTAATTAATTTTATACTGAATATTTTTATTTTAAAGGATGGAGAAAGGAAAAAATTGTTAATAGTTGCTGAAACTGATTTAGAGATGTATTGTCATTATCATTTGTGACATGTATCAACTATGATTAATAATATGATGCTTAGAGATGCAGGTAATGGGGAAATAGTTTTTTATGTAGTCTTCAATTAAAAAATTATTCTTCTTTCTCACTTGTTGTTTCTTATAATATTGTGGTTGCTAATTTTATAATTATAATTTTTTATGTATGTTTTAATTAATAGTTTATTCATTATTTTTTCTAGTATAAGTTTAAACATATTTTTTGTATATATGACCTTTTCTGCTTTCAAGAATGGTAGAATCAGTATTCAAATAGTAATATGTTTTATGTTTAAAATTGCACAATATATGACAATATGCAGGTGTATTTTCTGTTACTTAAATCTGCATATTAAATTGATCATTAGAACTTTTTTTTATAAATTCATCCAACATTATTTATTTTTATTTTATTTTACAGAAAGCAAAGCTTGCTAAGAAAGGAATGATTCTAAAAGATTCAACTTTAGATACATGAATTTTTTTTCCTGTATCATACTGTAGATATCTCCTCATGAAGTGCCTGTATTTTTATTATCCTTTTCTGTAAAACCAAAAGTCAGTCTTTTTCTTTGTCCTAGAGCGTTAGTATTTTTTTTATAAACTCCTAAAATCTCTTAAGCCAAATATTTAATTTTTAACATGTATCTTTCATAATGTACAGACTGCAAACTCTTTCATATATATAAATATGTATATGTGCATATGGTACTGTATGAGTTTTGTGTTTCTTGGAATTCAAAAGTTTTATATCTTTATTGAAATAATGAGAATTTTAAATGAATTTCTTTTATTGAGTTTCTTGAATTACATTTGAATATATTATTATTATTATTGAGTGATACAAAATTTAATAAACGATTTGATTGTTATGACATTGATTCCAAATCATTGTCAATTAAAATGTTTTAATTAATAAATTCAGCAGAAATGTATTTACCATTATGCTTTAAAGCATATGCTTTTGTAATCATGCTAATATTTTTTATTCATGCATAGCCATTAAAATAATGGTATTTTTGTATGTTTGTTTTGTAAATGTATATGTATGTGTACATTTATGTAGCAAAGTAACAATCGTGTTAAATGATTTTTTTTTTAATTGAACATAAAAGTTTCTCACCCAAGTTAAAATATATTTTAAGCCATGAAATTTTGACTCTTTCGGTTTAAAAGTTATTACATTTTTTCAGTTCTTTACTGAATCTTGTTGTAAGTTTACTCTTCAAATCAAGTATAAAATTTATTTGTTAATAAATATTTATAAAATATTTTATTAGGCAAGAAGTAATTTTATATATAAAGCAAAATTTTATAAATTGTCTGATGAAATTATTTGTTTTATTGAATATTAAACAACTTCTGGAATGATTTTTTAAATATTTTTTATGCTCTTATTGAATAGCATCCCAAACACTTAAATTTCTAATTTTTTTAAAGTATCTTTTCTAATGCAGTATTTTTATTTATCATTGTTCATCACTTTTTTCAAGTGTCTAGATGATAACTGCAGAAAAATTTCAATAAATTTGTGAATACATAAATCTACACTTCTAAGAAATATAAAGGTATTTCTTCTTTGAAAACTTTAAGATTTAATTAAAAACTTTAATTAAATTTTAATGTGTGCAGATTTCTTTTGAATATTTGATTTGATTTTTAAAGCAGCTAATTGAAATTGTTGTTGGAATGAAAGTTAAGAAAATTGTTTAAAAATTATAGTAATCTTTATTCTTTAAGAAGTATCAAGTTTTATTTTGCCCATAATTTAAAATTTTGTGTGTTTATTGTATTTGGATGGAAAATTTTATTTTCCTGCTACTGCTTGCTTTATATACTTATTGATAAGAATGACCATACCATTTGCGGTGCAAAATCATGTGAAATTTCAAATTCCAAAAGTAATCCTATGACAAAATGATGAGAAGGTATTTTTCCCCGTCTTCCTTTGTTGAAGAATATTATAAGCTTGACACTTTGTAATGAATTTTCAATGAAATTTGATAATTATGAAATTATATTATAGCTTACTTTCATATTAATTAAATAGTAATAAATGCTAGAAATGAGATTTCAGAATATTTCTTGGTTAATGATTAAGTCATGAAGTTCTGCAAAAATGAAAATGTTTCTGTTTAATTACTATAACCAGCAGCTGTAGTAGTGCCAAATATATATCTGTCAGTTGATCAGAGTCTGCAGCTTGAAGGTACATAGGAAATCAGTGAAATAATTTTTTCCTCTTATCTAAAGTTGGGCCAGAATGGGAGAAGTAAAAGTTCTTTTAAATAACTTCTTTCCTTCATCTAGTTTAGAAATAATTAATAGTACGTAAATACATTGTTTTGTGAATGAGCAGCTCTTAGCTTGAGCACTTGATAATTTCATTATTGCCCATAATTATAATTTCCAGAAATGGGATTTTCTCTTCTTATGGAATATTCAACATTGAACTTTGCATTTTTGTTTTATTCCACTGTGTTTCGTTTAATTTAACTAAAAATGCAAAGGTAATTATTCACTGCAGTAGATGCCATTTAATGCGATTGCAATTAATGTTATCATTTGGATATTGTCATTGAATTACCAAAGTCCCACCCGTTTGTATATGGGAAACATGGAAAACGCCTTGCTTACTGTGATCAATTTAGTTAATATGATAAAAATATCATAGAATAATTTTTTTAAACTGAAGAATATGCACCAAACATGAGATAAAGTCATTAAATAATTTTAAGATAAGCAATAAAAACTCTCAAATGACAGAAAAATTGCCAAAGAGTTTTAATTTTGATTTTAATCAACCATTTAGAATAAAGGGAAAAAAAACTGTAATTTGACATAGATTTCTGATAACTCTGTAAGTTTTAAGGGCAATCAGACACAAAGTACCCTTCTTCAGGAGCAGAAGACTTTTTTCTCAGAAAATATCTATGCCAAACTAAGGTTGCATTTCTGCTTAATTTTAAATTTTACATTGGCAATATTCTCATTCAGTAAAGGATTCCCTTCCGAGTATTAAGATTTAGAAATACAGATCTCCCAAATAATTTTTAGAAACATTTATGAACTGTTCATAAGGAATCTTTGCCTTATCCTAGGTAAAATGCTATGAAAATACCTCTTTACTTTTTTCAAGTTATATTAAATTAGATAAATTTTGTTGCTGTTTTGAAGAATATTTTTCCTCGCTGTTTAATGTTATCATTCAGTTAAATGTTGTCAAAATAGCCGTGAACAAATGTGATCACATTAAGCAGTGCCTACTGCACTATTTTGCACTTGGAATAACTGAGAAATTTCAAGCTTGTTCAATTCATTTTATTGTAAGTTAAATTCTTTAAATGTTTAACCTGAGCATATTTAGGCATTGCAAATAAAGTGCTTTAAGCACTGTGCGATGAAAATGTCACTAATGATTTGATCAATTTAAACTTTAGAGAGTGGAAAGCAGTGTATTACAAATGGTGAAAATATAGTTATTAAATTAAAATTTATTGTTGATAAAAGCTTTCAGTGCAAACGTTTTTATCATATTTGAGATTTGTGAAAATTTTACCTAAACTGTTAAATAAATTGACTCGTTAATTCTACATAGATTTTCTAAACATTAAAATAGAGGTTTCTTTTTAATATATATAATTTTGTCTCATTTCATTCATAGTTCTAATACCAGTGGAAAGAAGGGAAAATGAAAGTTTTTGTTTGGTAAAGTAAATTCTTGAATACATTTATGTTCCAGTTAAATATTAACATCATGTGAATGAATATGAGGGCATATATAAAATTAATGTTAATATGTTGCCACAGTTATAATTTTATGCATCTTTATTGTGAATGTTTATTTTATCTAATTCAAAGCTTAAAAATTGTGGTTAAGGAACCAGAGATTATACAGAGAAGCTTGTCAGATACTAAAAATCTTTGCACATATTGTTGTAAAGAAGTGGATTATTATACAGATTTCATTTTTCTGTTACATATAAAACATGTGCAATTAACTCGGGATTAAAACATTATACGATGCATAAATTATCACATTTAAGAAATATATATACATTTTAATTTATTCTATTTTAGTACATATTTTAAGTGTTTTTTTTTATTTATAAGTATATTTAACTAACATATACTTTTTTTAATTATTTTGTTTTATTCGAATGTAAGTTATTTTGTATGTTTTTATAAATTTTGTGTGTTGAAAATTATATTTCCCCACTACTTATTATAAGATATTCTTAATTTAAAATTCTTAGTATAAAAGGAAAATATTTTAAAATATTTTTATTCAAATTATTTAATGGGACTATTAATGTTTTTGAGTTAATTACACTGAACATTTTAGTTTATTGTACATAGTCACTTGAAGGAACTGCTATGTTATACAATTCTCTGTTTGTATAATAGAGAATTTTTTATGAATTTATAAATACTAGGATAGCTACTGTTTTGGTTATAAATTTGATTGTGTATATGTGTATGTGAGATGGTATTTTGCTGTTATTAAGAAATGTTATTTCTCTTCAGCAATCAGTGGTTCTAGATACTTCTTTTTTATTTTAAGAAATTTAGTTAAAAAATGTTAGACAATTAGTTATCCTGTAATATTGCTTAAAAGCATTATGAGTTATGTAATTGATAATATAAACATTTTTTTAAAGTTATTTTTCCGAAGTAAACGAATTGAGGAGTAATTATCTTATGAAGAAGTGCACTTCATTTAAGTTGCTGCACATTTAGTAATAGAACAATAACTTTATATCAATTTTCTCCAGTAATTCTTAATATTCTAAAATTTAGGGGGAAGGAATTAATTTAAGAGTTGTCGTTTTTTAAATGAAATATTGGTTATTGGTAGTAATAGGGTGTTTGACATTTACAAAATGGTCCCCCCCCCTTTAAAAAAATGGATAATTTGGCAAGTATGGAAAATGTTTAAGATCCTAAAGTTGTCTTCTTAGGTATTAATATGAATATATATTTTTTATTGTTGCTAATCATTTTCTTATTGTATTATATTGTTCAATTTAATTTTCATTTTATTTCCTGTATGCACTAAATAAATTTTCAATTTCAAGAGAAAAAGAGAATATTTAAAGATTTTAATGGCAAATCATGATGTGATCATTTTATATTTTTTTAGTTAATCTACATACGTAATTTCTAATCATGTTAGAAAACATTATATTTCTCACATAAATTCTCATATATTATTATGAGTAGCCCTTGAAAGAATTCATACTTCTTTAGGAACTTGTAAAATTGTATAACTGAGTTTGCTATTTAAAATTGTATAACTGAGTGGAGTTTCATATATTTAAAGCATTTTTAAAATTTGCCTAAACTCAAAGTGAAGACTAGAATTAAGAAAATAAGGTAATTATTATTATTATTATTATTATTATTATTATTATAGCCACCGTTTTTTTTAAACTCTAAACTGATGCAAGGTTAATCACTAAGCTCATAATTACTTCTCATGTGCACTTTGTGGCTGCCATATTTCTGCAACTTTTTTACTATGGCATCAGCGCCAGCTAGAGCTCTTAATGATGACCAACAAAGTGTTGTTGATTTTTATTGAGCTAATTAGTGGAGCACAGTCTTTCAGTATTTCATTATGAGCAGCTATTAATATCTCATTATGAGCTACTATCCACAAAATGAAATTTATGGTTATAAAAATGTCTTTAACCTGCTTTTTCCGGTTCCTCTGTTTTATAAGCTTGCCAATAATCTGAATAATCGTCAGTCCTTCATGTATACGGTTCGCGATTTTTGCCATGAGTATAGTAGCCTCTTAATTCAGAACCCGAGGGAGAGAGAATTCACCAGTTTCTTGACATAACCCTCCAAATATCCAGGATTGTGGAAGAACTCTGCCAGTTTTCCTTTTTCCCCATATGAAGAGATTTTTGTTTATATCGACAATTTTTTTAGGCCTCTTATTTGTTTGTCATATTAGATGGGTAGAGAATACACCTTTGGCATGAAATTGTTTCAGTGAGTAGTACCCCCGCCCCATTGCCAAGCTGCTTCTCCACCTAACAGTAAATAAATTACTTCAATGTTACAAATAGAATTCTGAAACCAGTCGTTAAAACGTTAGCTTTTCCTTCACTTTCAGTTCTTATAGTTTTTTTTTTTTTTTTTTTTTTTCCCCTAGTGGATTTTACAACAGTATAACTGTTGTTGTGTATTCCCTATCGATGCTTCCCAATCAAATTTT